CCACCAGCGTTTTTATCAATTGGACGCTACAGTACTATACTGTACTATGGTACTGTCACCCTGGGTTACCCATACTGTAGGTTGACCAGACCGGGCCAGCATACAATGCCATGCGACTGGGGGATCCACAGGGGATAATCACCGGGTACCGGACTGCCGCCAACCCAATCTGTTCTGGTCCGTACCGTACTGTACTAGCACCATGTGTACAGTATATAGTGTACTGTACACTGTACTGTACAGTACTGTACTGTATACTGTAAGGAGCGACTGTCTACTGTACTGTACTGTACTGTACGAGTGTACGTGCCTTTGCCACAACCAACCTGTGCGCAGTGGGCACGTGCTAGAGTAAGAGCAACCGGTACTGGAAAGGGTACCGGTACTGGACCTCGAGTGCACACTGTGGATGGAGAACATGCGCTTGCGCAGTGCAGTGCTGTACCTCCGGCCCACTGGGTGATCCTTTGCCTGAGTCCAAGGTAGACTTTAGACAGCCAGCAGGTCCAGAGTACAGACGCAACTGTACAGCGCAGCACAGATTCAAGGTCCGCCAAGACTAGAAACGTTGCACCCAAAATAGGATGACAATTTGCACGTGATTGATATTACAAACAGTCAGCGACTAGCCTGGAAGTGGATTTGACAGCCTACTGTGCCAAAAATGAGTCCGCGATCATTGTCCAATGTCTACTCACCCATTAAAATAATAACGCCATACTGTACAGTGAACAGTAGTACAGTAGAAGAAAAAAAAAGTCATACAGTACGCTGTGCAGTACAATAACTCGAGGTCTAGCTCACTCTACTGTAGGGGTACCCGGGACAGTACACTGAGTAGAGTACAGTACCGTACTACAGTATACAGTACTATATACTGTAGCCCAATGTCTACTCGCCCATTAAAATAACGCCATACAGTACAGTACGTACAGTAGAAGAAAAAAAGTCATACAGTACACTGTGCAGTACAGTACAGTAACTCGAGGTCTAGCCCACTCTACTGTAGGGGTACCCGGGACAGTACACTGAGTAGAGTACAGTACCGTACTACAGTATACAGTACTATATACTGTAGCCCAATGTCTACTCGCCCATTAAAATAACGCCATACTGTAGAAGAAAAAAAGGTCATACAGAACTGTACAGCAACTCGAGGTCTAGCCCACTCTATGTACTGTAGGGGTGCCCGGGACAGTACACTGAGTACAGTACTGTACAGTATCGTGTCCACAGTGGATAGTACTACAGTATACAGTACTATATACTGTAGCCCAATGTCTACTCGCCCATTATTATTATTAAAATAAATAATAACGCCATACAGTACTGTACTGTACAGTAGAAGAAAAAAAAGTCATACAGTACACTGTGCAGTACAGTAACTCGAGGTCTAGCCCACTCTACTGTAGGGGTGCCCGGGACAGTACACTGAGTACAGTACAGTACCGTGTCCACAGTGGATAGTACTACAGTACAGTATACAGTACTGTAACTAGCTAGACCTGATGGCCTTGTTGCTTGCGATTGCACATGCTCTGACCAACTTGAAAGTCGACAACAACTCTTCCAGCTTGAGCAATGATCGATGCATCAAAATGAATTCAACTTCTGGCCAATCCTCCAATTTCTTACAGGTCCTACTAACTAATGCTAAAGTACTGTACAGTAAACTTTGCATCATTGTCATCAACGTACAGCCCTATTTTGCCTACAATCTCTGCTATTCATCTTGTACTGTATGAGAAGAGTGATTTACTGCAGTTTTCCTTGTACTCGACATGTAAACCTGGTACCATGGCCACTTTGTTGATTAAAAGATATCAATAATAATAATAATAATAATAATAAGGACATCCATCGATAGTCATCCATGCAACACTCTACATGTCCATATTTCATAATTGACGTTCATGTGGAGTCCAATGCTGTATCTTTACTAAAATAGCCAAATAAGAAAAATTCTTCTTTTTCAAATAATAAAATAAACAATCATACCATTTCTATTCAATACATGCAGTTCCATGCAAGTGGTGGCATTGATTCGGATTTCGAAGATGAACCGACTGAACAATCTGTTAGCACAGGAGAATCTAGGTACGATCAAGTCATTAGCGTACTACTTACTCAACCGGATATACCGACTAGCATGTCATTTTGTTAAAGGAAAAACTGCCTGAATTTCAACAGTTGCAGCCAAGTACAAGTACAAGATGCATTTCTCCTACGAAGCCAGTGGATGATAATATTCAATCAACTGGCTTCGACGTAATGGCGAGCTGCAGTAGGCAAGACTACTTTACTGTACTGTATTGTACAGTACAAGGCAGCCTTTTACGCATAGTACACCAATTACTAGTAGTAACCATGCATTGGCGATAGGCTGCAATATTGCACATGGCTTCAATACTTGCAAATAGCGCTCTACATCAAAAGAGTAGTCGATCTCCATAAAAATATTCATCAGCCCAAAATAAGATTATCGTCAAGACCAGTATTAAGCAAACAATGTACGGTATCATGGCAACTGTTTTATTTTTGCAAAGATTCAAAAATTTGTAAACAATCTTGCTAACAAATATTTCCAGTATACAGTACATCTATAGCTGAGCACATGATGCATGATAGAGTTGTCGAGAAATTGTGTATTGAGAGGATCAATTCCACAAATGACGATGTTGAAGCCAAAGCTTACAAACTATCTAAACGTTTTATTTCAGTCAACCAGATAATATTAACACAGGGTCGAAAAGAAAACATTCAACAACAAAGCATGGTCAAGTCATACCCTCCAAAAGACTTGCTGAAGATATCTATGAGGCGTCAGTAATAGGCAAAATACTATTAATCAACTATAATCCTTTATGCTGATTGACACTTTTCTATTTATCATAGGGAAGCTGCGAAGATTGATCGTGTACACTTCTTGGCTCTAGATGCTGTAACTGTCTAACAACTTGATAATACACATATATTAAAATACAGTACTATTTATTTGGCTTTTATACGATTACGACAATACTATCTAGTTGATATAGTAAATACCAAGTAAATGAAATCGGCCAGTGCAAGATAATATCAAACAATATTTTTATACTAATACAGTATGCGCGTCATAAAATAATGGTCAACAACTATATAAAGTACTACGGTGGGTCGATAAAGGATTTTCAACGATCCAGGTAAGCGATGTTGCCAATAGTAGCATTATTTTATTACAAGTGATACTAATTGAAGGTATTAATGTATATTCAACGACGATGATCAAAGGTCATTAAGGGTAGATAGTACAATCAAAGTATTAAATTGTACCCCTTATTATGACCTTATAGCAGTTATGCTATACAAAAATTTGAACGATAGCACTGATAGTACTGTAGCATGATGCGACTTTTCATTATTACTTGCAATTCTACCATTCATTAACTGAGTTGGAGTAATTGCTGATAAAAACTTTCCTGTTTAAATAGGGCAAATGATAAAAACGATTATGACATTCTACGAGAACAGCATCGGTAAGTAATGAAAAATAAAAGCAAACGTGTCCTGTAAAACTAACCTTAAATGCAATTCATTTACCCCTATGCTAATGCTTAGATTTGTTTGGGAAGATGATGATGATAATGATAATAACTGGTAATTTACAATGTATTTTATTTTTTAAAAAGTTCACTTATTATAACTATGACATTCAAGATTGCTAGCATGAACACTTCTATCGATATCTGAGCAATGCATTCTTTAATAAATGTCTATCTAAGGGATAAGAGACTGGCAAAGAAATATTATGACCGTTTATACAAAGAATACTGTGTTGCTGACTTGTCCAAATATAAAGAAAATAAAGTAACGTATATTGATACTGTACGGTAAACTTAATGTGATGATAACGTTCAAAAGTTAATGCTGTCATTCGACGAATTTAGATTGCTCTTCGTTGGCGAATAGAAAGAGAGGTTATAGGCGGCAAAGGTTAGCTTAACACTGACTTGGACATTATAATTGTTGCATTATTGTAAAAGATCTATTCAATTTTTTCCTGCAGGTCAGTTCTTGTGTGGTAACTTGAAGTGTGGAGCAAGTGATAATCTGCGTAGCTGGGAGGTATGCTTTTCAATCATATAAAAATAACAGATATACACGTACTAGTGAGAATTTAAATACTGCAGATAAAACTACAGTATACGTATATCCTAGTCACCGAAATACTCTAACGAAGAATTTTACCAACTCGACTACATCTTTTTTCAGGTAAATTTTGGATATGTCGAGCGTGGAGAAAAAAAGAATGCCTTGGTGAAGCTAAGTAAGCAAATAATCAATTTGGCTTGATTCATATCATCTTTCTACATGTACTTGACACCAATTTGTATTGTTTGGTAAAATGTAGGACTTTGCCCTAAATGCTCAGATAAGCTAAATTATCATCACAGGTAGGAACTGGCTACTAATATTTTTACTATCAGTATGAGCTGGAAACAAAAAATTGATCTCATGTTGTTGCTACTTTGCAAGTGATTTTAAAGCATACTGTATATAAAATCAAAGTTTGATTGTTTTATAGTTGTCAATATCTAGAGTGAGGTTTATACTTGCCTTTGCTACAAGTAGAATGTCTGGACGTGACAATGCATTAAAATATATCTGAATGTATTCATAACAAATTATAGACAACGTTTGGCCAAATCGAAAGTAAAGGCGGATAATTCACGTACAATGAAAAAAGATTCAAACGTGCCAAGCAGAGCAACACCAGAGAAAGGTAATTGCTATCTGTACTTTACATTATATTTTGTATTTGCTATATCATACTGACATTGGCATTAAAATTAATACGCTTATACCCACATAGAGCTTGATGTCGCACCGAAAGAAACCGGGCCAGGTAACTGCTGAGATATCATTTCGAATTTATTGACCGCAATTCGATAATGGTAGAAAGATTGACTAACAATCCTTTACACCTCGTACTCTAGTTAGCAGCTTACGAGAGCGACTTATACAATATTTTATCATATGATATTGAATTGCAACTTCTCTAATGTTTAAAATCTACAGAATCATCTAGTAAACCTGATAACGTATGGAGTCGACCTGTAAATGTGGATTCTAAAACGCGGTAAGATTTAATTAATTCCGGATAACTTTTTGATGTGCATTGTATGCAAATGCTTTTATTTCTTAACTTAAAAATAAATAGTACTAATTTACAGTATACGCGTATAGTTAAATACGGTTACTAGTCGCTACGAGATGCAGGCGAGATAACAAATTTTGCTAATTTTTTATTTATTTATCTCACAACAGAGAGGATGAAATTGAGGACTACTTTGAAGATATGTTATTGTAAAATTTTACTAGTTACGTAGTATAGTACCTTTAATGTACAGTATGATACTATCATCGATGGACAATTTAAATTTTTCGGAACAATCTAGCTGGATAGTCACTGCAACGATTTGTAATTAGAAATTGAAATAGCGAGTTGACGTTATTGCTTTAATCTTGTATAGCAGCTGAATGTATTTCATTTCAGTCATAATATATTACACAGAGATATAGCATGAGCAAAACATTATTGTCTGTATTGTTTTAAGAATTTTAATTTCTATACTGTATCGTTGTTAATGTATCTGCTAATCGCTGGCCTGAACAATAAATTATTATTTGAAAAATGCTAGCAGCAAAGGAAACTTCTTCCACTACAACGAACTACTAGACTAATTAATGAGTAATATTGACAAGTATTTCTGTCGAATTTATGCAAGCTACCAATCATGTAAGAAGGCTAAATCATGGATATATCATTTGTAAGTGAGATTTTACAGAAATAAATGGATGAGATAGTTAATCCATCTGCTTTTCCTTTGACAGTACAGTAGTATCTGCATATTCTCCGCATAAGTTGCCTGGATGAAATGCTCGCGTTAGAGCTATGAATAAATGACAGCCAGATATAGCAACAGCTCCGAACTCATCACATATATATTTTGTTGAAATTTTAATAAATAATAGATTAGTCGCTAGCCGATGGATAAGAACTGTTATTATCAATATTATAGTGCTATAGCTAGCTGTCATTTTATTAAAACATTCAAGGCGGCTGAGCCAGTAGTAGAATAAATCATAGCTAGGAATAGCTGACGGAATATAATTTTGACATGGCCATGCAACATGGCATGCATTACATCAGAAGAGTGTAGCAAGTTAAAGAAATAGTACGTCACTTTAGTACTGTAAATCAAAGCATCAGTCACTAATTCATCAATATAGTACTGCTGCTAATAATTAGCACTTTCGTAGAATTTTCAACCCGATTCATTCAGTTGTAGATTGTAATCAACGAAGTCATATTGACACAATTTCAGTTGGATATTATAGTGATTCGTTGCGCGATGAACATGAGGTAACAAAAATTGTTAATAATTTTAATATTTTCTGATGGTCTAGTGATCACGGTAAATCGAGCCAACCATAATTTAACTTGTGCTCAATATTATTTTAATCATAGACTGATTAAACCATGCATATCTTTTAGCATACTCGTATGTATGTGCATTTGCTCAAGATCAACAATGGGTAATCAAAAATGAATGATTGTAGCAACGCTCTTTTCGTTGATCTCTTATTTCGGGACCAAGCATGAAACTTATTTGAAATCAAAAGTTGATCTCATATTGCTGCTACTTTTGCAAGTGATTTTAAAAGCATACTGTATACAAAATCAAAGTTTTCTGTTTTACACTTGCCAATAGCTAGGGCGAGGTTTACTGCATACTGGCCTTGCTAGAAATAGCACATCTTGATGTAAAAATGTATTAAATATGTCTATATACGAATTCACGAGGAATTACAGATGCCGCTTTAGCAAAATAGAAAGTAAAGACGGATGACTCACGTATAGTAAAAAAGATTCAAACTTGCCAAGCAGAGCAATGCCAGTGAAAGGTAATTGCTGTCTGTACTCCGCATTCTACTGTATTTTATAGTTGTGTAATTATACCCACTTAGATTCTGTTGCGAAACCGGAAGAAATAGGGCCAGGTAACTGTTGAAACATCATTTTCAGTTCAATGACTACAACACGATGACATTTTAAAGATTTACTAATTAATTCTATATATTGCCTAATTATTCACACGTCGTTACTCTAGTAAGCAGCTTGTGAGAGTGATTTAGGCAATATTTAGCATAGGATACTGAACTTGAACTTCTCTCATGTTTATCATCGACGGAATCATCTTGTAAACTTGACAACGTATGGATGGAATCGACCTATAAACAGGGATTCTTAGGTAAAACGCAGTAAGGCTAAAATTAGTTGTGATGACTTTTTGATATTTAACGTTCGCAGATGCTTATATTTCTCAAAGATAAACAACACAATTGTACACTATATACCGGTGATTAAATACAGTTACTAGACACTACAAGATGAGAGCAAGATAAAACAATTTTTGTTCATTTTTATTCATTTATCTTACGCTATCTACAGAGGGATGAAATGAGGACTACATACTTTAAAGATATGTTGTTAATTTTACGAGTTATGTACTACGTTTACATTACAGCGTAATGCTTTCATCTGTAGACGATGAAGTTTTTCGGAGCAATGTAGCTGGATAGCTACGGCAACACTTGACAATTAGGAATTGAAACAGGAAGTTGACATTATTGCTTGAAACTTGGATACCAACTGAATGTATTTCATTTCAGCCATAATATTGTATAGAGATATAGCATCAGCAAAACTTTATTGCCTGCATTGCTTTAAAAATTTCAATTTCTATCCTGTACTGTTATTCATAATGTATCTGTCAATCGATGGCCTGAATAATGAATTGTTATTTAAAGAAACGTAACATCATAGGAAACTTCTTCCAATGCAACGGGCTAGCAGTTTCAATAAATAGGTACCGCAATATTTACAAGTGTTTCATTCAAATTGATACACGTTGCCAATCATGTAAGTAGGCTAAATCATGAATATATCATTTATAAATAAGATTTCGTAGAAGTGGATCAGGCAGTTAATCCCATCTACTTTTTCTTTTGATAGTAGTATCTGCATATTCTCCACGTGCGTTACCTTGATGAGATGCTCGCATTAAAGCAAGGAATAAAATGCAGCCAGTGATAGCAATAGCTCCAAAAGTCATCACATATTTATTCTGTAGAAATTATAATAATGGATTAGTCATTAAACGACGGATAAGAACTGTTACAAACAATATTATTATAGCGCTGTTGCTAACTGGCACAGTTATTAGACTATCCAACACGACAGAGTCAATGGTAGACCAAATCACAACTAGGAAAAGTCGACGAAATACAATTTTTGATCTAACCATATAACGACATCTATTCCATCATTAAAGTGTATCAAATTGAAAGAAGAGTATATCACTGTTTTAGACTTTTAGTGGGGCAAATCAAAGCATCAGTTGCTAATGCATCGATCGTATAGTACTACTACTATTAACTCGCATTTTAGTAGAATTTCAACCCAATTTACGTAGGCAGATGTAGACTAAACTACTTCAACAGCATGAAATGGAACAAAGTGCAACTTCGATCTACGCGTACATCATTTTGCAGCGATTATCACCTCCATCATAAGAGTGTAGACATTTGAAATAGATGATATGACTGTATCTCTAATTTGACTGTTTCAGCTCTAGACAAATCATCCCTACAGCTATGAAAGGTACGAAAGTACAATTTTCCAAACTCATCAATATGCTGCGGCGGCAGCCACTGCGTCCAGTTCGTACATGAAGTTTTTATAAATGATGCAAGAATATATTGGCATAGAATCATGCCTACTGTAACACTTCTATTATTAAAAGTGCGTTCATTTGGCTAATGCTATACAAGAATTTTGTGCAATGAGAAATAGTGTGCTCAAGTTTAGCGTAGTGGATATGATCTCTATGTCATCTTAACCATGCCTATTTTATGCATCAAGTAAAGATCTGATCCTACTTGATGCAAGTAATGTAACATCATATTTAGCATAACATGGCCATCAAGTCATTCCTCTATCCGTGTAGACGAGTAAAAGTTTCAATGGCCTCCTTATTTACTCATACTGCTGCAATCGACAACACATACCGGGCGTATGAACAATTCTGGATTAACAATTCGGAAAGCAGTAGTGGTTCGAATTTTTCGCAATCCATCATTGGGTTTAGGAGTTTTTCCTTCAGGATTGGCCATCATATTACATCAACTCTTATTCTTTTACAGCCAATGAATGAATTAATATCGGTCGGTTTGCTTTCTCCTTTTACTCAGCTTGTGCTTGCCTAGATGCCAGGTGTCTCTAACTCCAGTATAGTGCAGGCTTTCACTAGTCGATGATGGAAGGATAACCAGCAAAAATGATCAGCTTCGCCATCTTCGCCTTTCTTGCTCACGGATTGGCATTGCCTTTTGAGCAAGCGCATCACAACCGTAAACATTGCAACCTTGTCGAACTTGTTTTCATCAGCTGCAAGGGGCCTAAAACGCTAGCCGATCCTGGCAGCTCTTTTTTAGCTTGACATTTTGTCGAGGTAATGCAGACAATTTTCACTTTCTATTGCCACCAGACTGCTGATTGCAATATAATCGATTGATACTGGCTTGGCCATTTGCAGACCTTTGAGCAAGGAAGTGGTTGCCGAGAGATTATTGCTGGATACATCTTATCCATTGGCCTATCTTGGCTAGAAGGAAAACTTGACTCTTGTGCAGCGCCATTTAAAGAAGGAAAGAGTAATTCTAATTCATCATTAAGAAAACACAAACTCGTAACGTAAGAGTGATCGTAATCTATGACAACGAGCTGATGAGTTAGTGCTAAACGACAATCTTGAGCTGCTTGCAATTTTACCTTGGAATGATCAAGTCGATGATGCTATTGGTCAATATCGACAAGATCTAAACATCCATACGCATAACTCACAATTTGATCCGGTTTGCCATCGGCTTATTTATTGTAGACATACCTCAGTCAGGTTATTCAAGGATCATTCCTGCAAGTATTGAAAGAGTGCTGCAGCAAATTATCGGTAACATTGGGCTGCGATCGCGTATGTTTGTGGACACCTAGGTAGCTGCGATACATTCAATCTAAAGTACTGCAATCTTAATCATACGGGCTGCAACGAAGCAAATTATTCACGGATCTTTCCTCCAAGAACGGAAAGAGTGCTGTAGCAGAGATTGGGAACATTTGGCTGTCATAGTGTCATCTTAATATTACGCTGAAAGCATTTGAACGTCAACATGGCATCGCCTGCTAAAAAAAGAAAATTAAAATCAAATCTACAAAAACATATCTCGCAGCCGACGCAAATCTTTCATGACATTTGTGTTTATATTGTGCCCATTAAATTGCCTAATCAACGAGTGCAATTCTTAAAGCAATTAGCTGCCAAGAAAGGTTTTCCTATTGCTGAATCTTACAGGTAGGGGAAAAACACCTTATTCTTTAGCCGTAGCTAAAACCAAAAGACTACAACGTAATCCATTCTTATGATGCTCAAACAGTCATTGCATCACTTTATAATAACTGACAAATAATAACAGTGGCAGCGCCTAAAAATAAATCCCTCTATGTTGGTAATATTTAACCTGCATGGGTACAAGAACACTTTGCTATTGCTTACTTCACCTTTTACCAGTATCCATTGCACTCTATTGTATTGCAAGAAATGTAATACTAGACGTCTAACTATAGGATGCTCTTACATCTAATTTATCCTTATCCTAATAAATTACATCACTAACATTAATCAATGCGAAATACGCCATTGTCCAACTCGTAAGCATTCAAATGTTCGTTTTGATTATCGACATGCTTACTACAAGATCAAAAGAGTAAATGTTTGAAGATATTGCATGCAAATCATGTTAGCCGTACTAACCTTAATTGAAATTATCACGGTTGGTTCTGTCATGCTAAAGTTGTTAATTTACTCGTACGGCAGTTAAACTGTGCTTTACTACCATCATTACAGTATTTATCTAATGAATACCTTTTACCTCTTCCGGTATATATAGCCCTAAAGTCACCCATATTGTCACCGCTGTTACATCTATCGATCGAATCAAAGCTCATCTGGATAGGTAAGTAATGTTCAATCAGTTGATATATATTTATCTATACCATGATATAAATATACTCGTATATAGAGTAAAATTTCATAACGCATTGATCTTTCTCGTTACGACTACTGAAGAGCACAAAATGCAATAAAAGTAGTTCTATGTCTACATGCACCAATTTAGGTGCTTATGATTCTTACTTTATGCAAATAAAGATGATGAATTTTGGACTACTAATAGGGTTATTTGCTAATGTTGTATATGTTTTATATCTTAGTGAAAATATTAACAAAGTTGAAGTGGTTTCTGTTGAATGTAAGTAAAATCTTATCCATAGCAACAACTTACTCTAATCATGATTTACGAGTATGTATTGATTATTCTTAAAATCGTGCCAATATTCTATACCATTTATTGCACTTTATGCAATTCTTGATCAACTAAATTCCGCAAAAGACTCTTGAAAAGACCTGTTATACCTTCTATCAGTTACTAATCAAGGCTGAATGCTAAATTTTGATAGTGCCGCCATATACACTACTATAATCTTAGAAATGCTTGTAGATTCTACACCTAATATCATTATCGATATACGAGTATAGGGCTAACAACATCGTTTACAGATGGGCAACCAACTCGTGTTACGGATCGATTTCGTCTTGTGCCAAAGAAATCGTTAAGGTTAGTATGCAATACGTTTAATCATATCTAAAATGAACCTTTGCTGTAGAAGTAAGATCTACCAACACTTTGAAATGCTAGTTCCAAAATTAGAAATTTATAATTTATAATTTTATTGGCAAAGCCAAGGAATTCCAAAGGGCCTTGCATTAGTTACACGCTAGGGCCCTTGATAATAGATAAATTATTTTTTATAAAGCCCTATTAAACGAAAATGTTTATACTAACTTGTAATTTATGTAATTCTATATCGCAATCCTTAATGCATTTCTTTAGCTGTAAATTCTAAGAGAAAACCAAATCTTTTCAAAAATGAAAAGTTCACTAGGGTTTACAAAATCGGTCAATTTTTATTAGCAAGCCCCTCAGTAGACCTCTTTTATTCCCCTTCACAATTGCGCCTACACCCTGTCGTAAAAATATATAGTGCGTGTACTAGATATCTGTGTATTCTGTGGTAGACTAGTGTTTATAGGCATATTTATTTTTTCATTTACAGCTGATGATATCAATTAATGATAGGTTTGAAAGACATTTTTTACAACAGCACATTGTTAACAGTTAATAACAATAAAGATGCTGTTATTATGTTACTGTATACATAGTTTGGAGCGCTTTTCAGCCTTCGATCGTCAGGCTTCATTGGAAAATAATACCCAACTAAGCGATGGAAGTGCTGATGGAGAGTCTTCGCTTCAGGTTATTGAAATTGCCTTTAATTTAAGAAGCATCGACTATACTTCTATTCTATATTAATTTTATTTTTACAGTTAACAAAATACGAATGTCAACGAGTGACGACTTTGGATCACTATAATCGCAAATTAGTGGTAAATATTACAACTATAAAGTTTGGAAATTTCGATTGTATTATGCTGTACATACCTAACAATGTACGTTATGAACTTTATATACTTTCAATAAAAATAGCCTTGTCTTAAATATTAGGAAGCATTAGAATTACTTGAGAGTCACGCATTATTAATTGGAGGTGAACAGAGTCAAGGTAGAGCACTTGCATTTAAGAGATCTTCAACAGCTATGAAAGGTTTACCAAAGGAGATAGAAAACGTCGATGAGATTTCTTCCTTACGTCACTTGGGAAATCACTCCTTAAGAATAATTGGGGTAAATTAAGTTATTGGAAAGATTATGAATAGAGTTTGTAAGAATATGCTCTAAATATCGATATCTTATTATCTGTAGAATTATTGCTAGTCTAATTACAATAACTTAATTCTAGCCCAAAAAATCTAAATCGCCGTTTCTGTAATCAATTTCTAGCAATTTAGTCATTATACTCAAACAATTAAACTCGTGCAACATGTGTGCCTTGTCAATGTAACGTGATAGTTTCTACATTACGACACAATCCACATCGGTATTATATTGTTTGATGCCATTTAACGATTAACTATATCCTAGTACATTACTTTCAAGGATCCTATACAAATAAAGTAATTTCCTAATGTAGTGTATTTTTCATCTAAATACTAAAATCGAAACTACAAATTCTAAAATATCGTTAACTAATTGAGACGTATATTATATCTAAAAATCCTTACGATGGTGTTAAGGGATTGTTTACATTCTTAGGAAATACTAACAAAAGGTTATAGCGATGAAGTAGAGCAAATTCGTAATAGTGAATTCTACAAAGCAACCAAGGTATCCGCATATAACTATAAATCTACAGTACACCAACTCACCAAGTGCTACAGCATCGTGTTATTTCAACTAACTTTTTTAAAATTGTATATCCCATTATTTACGCAGTTGTTCAACAATATATTCGGCGTTGGACCTACTACGGCGCGCTATTGGTATGATAAAGGATTGCGGACATTTGACGACTTGCGAAATTCAGAAATAATTAAGTTAACGGATAGACAACAAAGCGGTAGGTTTTCCTTATTGAGTACGATGCAAATAGTATACATGCAACTAAAGCTATATTTACTAAATTATTTTAGGACTTGATAACTACGATGAATTGTGTGAACCGGTTACTCTTGAACAGGCACAACGAATACGTGATATGGTCCAGAACGAAGTCAGTAACGTAATGTGAACTGATGTTATTTCGTTAACAAGTCTGACAAATAAATAACATTACTCTGAATTATTGAGATGAATGAATAAATTATATCACAGATTGATATTATTTTGCCTGGCACAAAATCAATGCTTGTCGGAGGCCATCGGAGGTACGCAGGATTCCAAATACAATAATATTTTATTCGAAAGAATTGTCAAAATTGATAAAAGAAAGTGAATTTGATTTTTAACTTTATTAAAATAATTTTAGAGGTAAAAAAGCTGGCCACGATACAGATATTTTAATCTGGCATCCAGAGGAAGGAAAAGAACGTGGTTTACTTACCAAATTAGTAGATAGATTAGAGCTTAAGGTAGAATCAGTGTGAATGATGATTATTGTGACTTATTAAAAAAACAATCCAGAATTGACAATTTTAAAATAGCACAAGAATTTTTTAAAGTTAATTGACTTCATTTACTCAAGCTCTTTGCACTTACATTACATCAGGGCTATATCAAGTACAAGGAAATGATAAATATCGACGCAAACACTGACGAAGCGTTTCTTAGAAGAACAAATTCAAGAGGATTATCCGATATAAAAGAGTAACCTACTACTTTCATGAAATGAAACATCAGGCCAGAATCTTCAATATCTTTACACCGTAATCTTAGGATAATATTTCTAACACTGTAGGAAACCAGGCAAAGCCATGGATCATTTAGAACGATGTTTCGGTATCTTTAGCTTTCCTCGCACGTTATTACAACTCCCACAGAATGATGATAATCCTAGTGCTGCTAGAAGAGTGGACTTAATTGTCACACCAGCTTCCCAATGGGCATATGCGCTAGTTGGTTGGACTGGAAATAAGGTAATACTTTTTATAGTCTTCCAGACATTACTATATCAAAAATATAATACAAAACATTTTTTTCATTCTATGATGATTTAGCAATATAATCGTTCTTTGAGACTCTATGCTTGGAAAGAATTGCAAATCAATTTATCCAGTCATGCAGCATTCGACTGTAGAGAGGTAAAATCAATTTGCTGCATTTTATCGGCTTGCAGTCTTAGTTTCTTATCGGTCAAAAGTCTTTTGTCTAACTTGATTCAATGTGTTACTTTGAAAGCAAAAATTATTGCCTGCATCAACGGAACAAGATATCTTTAATTATCTGAAATTAACATATAGAGAGCCTTGGGAAAGGAATTGCTAACCATTAGTAAATAAGGGCAGACTCATCTTAATATCGAAATACCTATTTTTTTATGTCCCATCATCTCGGCAGGATGGTCACTTTACTTATTATGATTGCATTGCACACTGTATATTAAATATTGTGAAAAAATTAAAATGTTCTACACATAGCAAGCCTACTACAAACTAATATTGATAGAGTAATGATTGCTACCTAGTTATTGCCTTTTTTAGCAAATACGCATATACAAGTAAGTAAAAAAACAATAAGAACAACTGTCTCAGCAATGTAACTTACTCTTAACCGCATCTATCGAAATTTGTAATATCCATAGATAAAACTTAGCTTGCGAATAAGATTTAAGTGATTAATATTCTTTTGCAATGATAGCTGATACTCCATTGCACCAATTTTTAACTCAAGTATTGCGAATATGTAGGTTTTACATCATATAAAATATAACTAGCACGGAAAAGTCAATTCAGTTATTATAAGCATTTGTACTCGTACCATGATAGCGATAATCATTAGTGTTTTTGAGAATTAGAATCATCGCGCCCATCTATACTGTACTCACATATACAAGCAAATTTAAGTTACCTTTCGATGTTGATTGGAGTACAAGAATTTGTAAATATTATTTTTTAAATCGCAATAAAGTTATTGAAGATATGTTATTGACCACCATCATTACAAAACGCTTTACCGACTATCGATTTAGCTTAACGCCGGAAAGGAATATCTGGATTAGCCAATAATATGAAATAATTAAAAGTAGCAACCGTGTAGTTCTAACGGAATGTGATACCGTTACTCCGCTGAAACTAATCAATCCCCTGTTATCTAACGGCAGGTAGTGAGCCACTTTCTTTCATGATACGGAAAAATAGTATCCATTGAATACTTAATGCAGAAAAACTATATAAGAGTATGCATAAGTTACGGCCCAAATAGTAAACAGGATAATCTATATCAGTCCAAAGCTAAAGGTTTATCAATGCATTGTCATTTTGATTTTATACAATATATGAATCGCGATTCCGCATCATGGCACAATCTACTTCCGAAGTCTATATCATCCCATTACTATTTTATTTTCTGTTAACGCAATGGCGACGATAAGTGCGAAGTTATTCTAATAAATATGAGAGTAGACTGGATTTTTAATTACTATAAAGCTATACTGTAGACGCTAGTTACAAACTATAGCTTTCACTCAAAATGGAATCACATTGATGCTAGGGTTACTTCCTATATCATGCGAAAGCCGCATTCTTTCGCGAATACAAATAACAGATCCCGGAAATTATTATTGTTATTCCTTAGAGAAAAACCTCAAACTAAACAAAAGTCTTACGAACATTGAATCAATATTATCAAGACACTCTGAGCATAAACTCAATAGTATCCAGTTTCCGATGCTGATTTCGTTTACAAGAATATCAGCAGTTCCAAAGGCTATCAGGTCGATATTTAGGAAATTTTAGAATAGCTATTACTATATTAGAAAATCTTTTAAGCAGACTTTAGATACACAAACTATTTACCCTAGATTCAATACATTAATTTTGTGATGTATCGCAAAGATCCTTAAGCAATTTGTATTGGTTATTTCGGAAAATCTTGCTGCAGATCGGTCCTGGTAAACTTATTAAAATTATAGTAAGTAAAGATATTTACAACTGTTGCTGCAAGAGTTTGTAGCATTACAAAATTATCTCCTACGATAACTTATATTAGATGTAGAAAATTGCATACGATTTCGTTGAATAGGCACTTTTACAGAACTTTTTATGATAGCTCATTAAAAGTGATTCAGTATACAGTAGCAGTAGTAACCATCAAAAATTCACTTATACTGTATTTAGAATAGGAAAACCATATTTCAATTTGAATTTATTTCTATTTACAGTATATTGCTGCTAGTATTAATATAATTACTGCCAATTGCTATAGATAGGATACGTGTATTGCATATCAATAGTAGTAGTATATTTAGCCTTATTAGTAGGATTGTTAAAGTCAACTTTGAGCATGGACGAACAGAAAATATCCTAGCTATAATTAGCTGCTCTAACAGTCTGTTGCTGAATTATACTGTATGATCATGACGTCGATAGAACATATGGCCATGAACTTGACATTGTAGGTAAGAAATAGAGAAAATAGTATCCAATATTACCAATGACGACATCGTTGCAAGGTCGACTATTCATGTAATAGTACTAAATTGATATTCACCTTTTCCATTGGCGCATCATGTAGCATATTGACTTTAGAATAACATTTACCACCACTAATTATACTGCATTAATGCTCGAGAAAATTCAATCTTGTCAAACTGTCATTTATACCTGGGTCTGTAGTAAAGGAAAAGCTAGTTGTAAGCCAAGATATCAACAGAGACCTGTATTGCAACTGAATAGAAATCTCCATCGGATCTTAACTACGTACCTGTTTAGGTAAAAGATGAAAAGCAATTTAGGACTAATCTACTTAAATTCAAATTAAATTGATTAAAAGTATGAATATGAAAGATTATATAGAACTAATCATATATTTCTTGGCCTTAATAAGCTGATAGGACGCGCAAAGCCACTCTAAGATCATGGCTTCACCACGATTGATATTGGACGGAGAAGATTTGCCGGAAACAGCTTTGACGGCAACTGCAGAAGACCAAAAACGTATCAATCGATATGAAGGAAATCCTTGTGTCAATCTATTGAAAGAGAAATGCTGCTCAAAATCATGCATTCGAAGTCGACTTCCAATCGTCGAGTGGTTGCCAAAATATCGTCTCAGGGATCTACAATGTGATATCATTGCCGGTATAACTGTCGGTGTTATGGTGGTTCCTCAAGCACTAGCTTATGCTAATGTAGCAGAATTGCCTCCTCAGGTAAGCATAAAAAAATGAGCAACAGGCAATTCTATCATTCCTTTTTCTGCCTCTCTAAATTAAAAATCTTCTCTATCAGGGATAATTTATTTCCAAATAGCAACTTTGTTTATGGCTGATACAATACTTTTAATAGTCTCAATTGATCAAAAATATTCCTTATTAATTATGAAAATACGTATCATGGCATCGGCATGACCAAAATAAGATTTTCTGACTACGCTCACTAATTATCATTCAATCTATCAATATGATAAATACCTAACATTAAATGATATAAATTTAAAGAATAACTTCTTCACTGACTCACGATATCGAAATGAGTTCGTTTCTAATGATTCTTTATTATTTCTTCCATAGACAGTTCTATACTTTCATTTTGCAATGAATTAATGTGACTATATCTAGAGCGCAGCTTTCTGTTTAATTTCTTAATCATTTTATTCTTTCATTCTCCTTCAATAACCTACAGTAACTTGATCTTAACTTAGCAATTAAGGTGTCTCTCACGAGTGAGGATTGAAGATCTAGAAAGTAGCATTAATAATAAAGATTTATCGATAGCATTTATAATAATGATACTTCCCCTATGCTAAATAGACGAAATTTGGCAGTAGATTATTCTCATATCACGTCTATAATCGATCAATTTCTACTCATCAGTCGGATTAAATTATATTACTGCTCTATACTTTTATCTGTTTAATTTACTTTAATCCAGCACTCATAAAGCAGAGCTTAACTCACAAAATTTCCGTACATGTATGGTTAGAGAATAAATCATGAAGGCAACAGATAATTTTCCCTAACATGGTAGACGGCAATCAATAAGATCTGCTCTAGCGCTTATTTTTATGAGTCAGAGATTGAGTATAACATGATTAACTTTCACCCCTAAATGCCTTAAATGAATGCCGAAAACTGCTGACAAACAGATTTATCCTACTCTTTCTTGTTTGTCCAACAGTTACTTTATTTAAATTTCCAAGAATTCTAAAAGGAACGAAATACTGTAGACATAGATGTTCACATAGCCTTATCACGCTTTGAAACGTATAATTTATTTTATTATTTGCTATTATTTGAGCCTAATATGCCAAAGATTATGCCAGACTCATGCTAAAGTCGGAATCAAGCTATATGATACAATCATTATAATAATTGCTTTCATTTGCTAACTCTGAAAATCATTTCGGCAACAAGCACATTAATTCCTATGGCGAAAGCATGCAAAATTCGGTAAAGTAAATTAATGAGTTGGACCAATTTGAAAATCAGTAATACCATAGCCTTGCACCAGGAGAAAAATTATTGCTATACCTTCACTAATCAGGCTACGGAATAGCAGAAGGTATAGGACATGGTTATAATACACACTTACGCGTAGACGCTCAGATAATAATAATTTTCACATATTTCGCAATCACATGGCTTAATAGGTTATTTCGAAGATTTTTATCCTTTCAAACATACAATTTTAAGAGTTCATATGCCATCTTCCAGTTTATCGCAGCAAATAAATTATGAGAACTATTCTTCTTATTTTAGAAATAATCCTTAACGGTATAGAACATCATAATACAATCAAAATGATCAAAAAAGGCTTAAGGTTTCAAATCCCATAATACTGAGGTTAAATTTTCTAGAAATCCGCTCTAATCCTATAGTTGCTACCTAAGCCATATGTCGACTGATGACAGACTGATTCAATAACAGATTCTATTCTATGGTGTATGCTGTATTCTTTAAAGAATAACATAGAATAAGTAGCATCTTGTAGAAAAGGATAAATCTTAACTATTTTAAATTTATTTTTAGGAGTGTGAACTAAATTTATTGTAGAGCATGAATTATAAAAATTCTATGCTTTGAACTTTAGCTCATTTAAAATTACTATATTCGCATACCAATTCCAAATTTAATAGGCCAATTTTTCCTAACATCATGATCATGAATCCTTAATTTCGCTATTGAAATACAACGTAATTGATAGTTAATTATATGCAGTACAGGCATAATTCGTTGTTACTGCTAATCATGGTTAAGTTTTCAAACCTATTGTGTATTTTTGCTTCAAAGTTTGTTTCTAAAAGATTTTAACTATCATTTATTCATCGAATTAAATATAGCTATCAAAGTATGTATAAATCCGATCGAACTACGCAGTTTCTGGATTAAGTTTTTGATTGATCTAAGGCCTCTAGAGATAAACGTATTGTCATCAATAATTTAAAAAAATGCTTTATCTGTGCTGTTTAATAGATAAATTTTCTTAATTTTACTCTAAATGCAGCTATCAAAGCACATCGATCTGCTACATAGTTCTGGATTAGTTTTAGCTATCTTGGACATCTAAAGTAGCTAAGCTATCAAATTAATGAAATTATATTCATTGCATATTCAGAATAGCGTATCTACAGAGTTTAAAAGTAAAATCATTTGCGTTTTTGGGCTAATCACATTGCCTATTCGTGGAGTTCTAACTATAGAGCTTCTGAATCTGGCCTTAGCTAATTCTAGATAGATAGAAACTCTATATTTTCAACAATTTATAAACTGTGCCAGCCTAATATTCAACACATTTTAGCTATACATTCAATCAACATATACTCTTAATTTCTTTATATAGTTAACTTTAGGATTAAACAGTTTTAATTAATGTTAGTCATTTTGCTGACTTTTACTTTCTATTTATAATTTTAGTATGGTTTATATGCATCTTTCCTTGGTGTCTTCGTCTACTGTTTCCTTGGTACATCGAAAGATGTTACTCTTGGTCCAACAGCTGTTATGTGCTTAATGGTAGCTGAATATTCGCGAGATGGAGATCCTAATTATGCTATTTTGCTAGCATTTCTATCTGGAGTTATTCAAGTAATAATGGGGTTCCTGGATCTAGGTAAATTACCTGAAATAGTAACATTCATGAACTAGTTTGTGAGCATTCTCTACTATTTCATTTTAGCATGCTATAATAATTTCTATCACGGTTATCGATAGCGCAATAAAAATTTAAATAAACGTGATATGAGCATTACTTATCCTAGCAATGTCTTTATGAATATTTTCTTCTACTACAGGTTTTGTAGTTAACTTTATCTCCGTCCCTGTTATAAGTGGATTTACGTCGGCAGCAGCAATTACCATAACCGTGAGTCAACTGAAGGTAAAATTCAGACATGTCTAAATATAAGGATTTACTTGTAGGCAAAATTGAGTTCAAACTTATAAAATTTAAATAATATTTGGATATCCTGTAAGTTAATAAATTGAATGGAAAGCAAATATCCACGCTTATGGTATATTACCTTTAATATTGTAGGATCTATTTGGCTTGAAGGATATTCCAAGAGAATTTTTTGAACGCGTTTACACCATTTGCGAGAAACTGCCAGAAACTAAGTAAATATTAATGCAGGATAGACTGCATAGTTCTAATTATTGTCATTCAAGTAATAACCTATTCAGAATTATTACTCTAATGGATTCTATTTGATCTATTTAGACCATGGGATGCTTGTATGGGTTTATCCTGTATCGTTATATTATATATTCTCAAAGTATGTTAGAATAGTATTAAACCATCTTCAGTTCATAATTATGATAGAGCTCATAAGTTAGTTAAATTATTCCAATGTAGATGATAACTAACTAGAAGCCATTCTCTTCTCGATCCGTTGCAGTATATGAAGGACTATGATTACAAAGACGAAAAATATAACTATGCACCACCAAAATGGCAACGTGGTTGTCGTAATTTTATCTGGCTAATTGGAACAGGTACGACGATAAAGACTAGAAAAAAATATCATTTCTTCAAGCTCTAAATCAATTTGCAGACGTATATAAATCGTTTTTCTTATGTAATTATTCATTTTCAAGACAGTTACCTAGTAATCTCTATGATTCATACAATTTATCAAAAAATTTAACCGAAACAGCACTTTCCACCACCAGAAATCCATGTTAATAGTTTACTGATAATATGAGTATTTAGTATCTAACTCAGCTGGATTCAAATCGCTATAGCCTTCATAACTTGACTTAAACATAGATTTCCCTTTAAAAATTATCAATATATACTAGATCTTACGTTTTCCTAGACACTAGATGTCAATTAAAGTCATTTCAAGACTTAAACCGTTTATTTAACGATTCGTTTTCTTATAGAGATGATTAATTTGTTTTAAAGATTCATGCAGGTATTCTCGAGCATAAAACAATCCGGTATATCAATTTCAAGTATCATCTATATACTGCTTATTAGTTGCATGAAGCGCAATTTCTAATATCCAATTCATTTAAATTTTTAAATCAGTTCAGTATCTATAGTTTATATATGCATTTCTCGTTAAAAAAAGGTGAAGAATCTGAAAATATTTAGATCTGCAGAAGGCTAGACTTTAGCTATGTTATAGTAGTTTGCGAAAAAAAGGAAAAACTTAGAATTTTATTCCTCAATATGACATAATAGAAATTTAAATACACAAATTATACTTAAAAATTATATATAAATGCGATTTCTATTCTTACCTTATTATTTTCATCATCATATTCTAGCCAGGAATGCCTTTATTGCAGTCATCTCTGCTCTTGTCTGCCTAGTGTTGGCCTATCTTGGCTATCCAGAAGATACCGTGTCTTTAACTGGTCCCATCGTAGGCGGTTTACCTCCATTTGGTCCTCCACCATTCTCAACCACTGAAAATAATGCCACTATAGGATTTGGTAAAATGGCTGAGGTATGCCATTTACTCACAACTAGATATCTACTATGCTATGATTATAAGTGTTATAAAATACCTTGTAATCAGTATGGAATCTGCATAAAATGTAGTAGTCGTAATAGACTTGAATAGAATAAATTTTTCTGCACTATTACAGAATTTAAATGCTGGAATTATAGTCATTCCGTTAATTGGGTACTTGGAGAATATCGCTATTGCCAAAACTTTCGGTATATCCTATAATTATTTTTATCATTCAAGTTTAATTCAGACCTAATGTTTTCATAATATTCTTCTGTGCAGCACGAAAAAATAAATATAAAATTGATGCTAGCCAAGAACTTATTGCCATTGGTTTCGCTAATGTTATCAGCTCATTTGCTGCTTCTTTACCTATTACCGGTAGCTTTTCCAGGTAATTAAGCGTTATTTGATAGCTTGATTACATATCATCGCAATAATACGTTATAGCTACCGGTACCTTTCTGATCGAAAAAATTTTATTGATGTAAATAAGTTTTCCACACCGATACCTATTCTAATTACAGTAACCTTTACTCATGTTGATGCAAAAGTAGTATATAATTTATACATTAAAATATACGAATTATAGCTGTCATAACTGTATAGCTAATTTAACTTTCTCGAGACGTAATGACGTTAATTTCAAGTCTATAACGATCATTCATTTGCACCGTTAAACTCTAGGTCTGCAGTTAATTCCGCTAGTGGTGTTCGAACAACTCTTGCTGGACTTTTTACAGGTTTGTTGAAGATACAAATTCTATATCGGGCTACCATATCCAGTTGCGAAGTTGATAATTTTTACGTTTAATATCTATATCAGAGTAAATAGTCATAAATAATCGTTACAATCCTAAATTAACATTAACTTCTAATTAATATAATTATCGACTATGCCTATCAACTAAATGAAAAGATTTTTTTAATGATAATTAACTAATTATTTTAATCATCAGGATATTTGATAACAATAAACACCATCATAACTAATTTTACCATTTATTAAATTGCTTAGGTGGTATAGTACTTCTAGCATTGGCTTTCTTGACAAATTGGTTCTACTATATTCCAAAGGCAGCCTTGGCAGCAATTATTATCACTGCAGTTCTATCTATGATCGACTTCTCTATTGTCAGAAAGTTATGGCGAGTAAAAAGTAAATCGCAAACTACATTTCTTATTAAAATTATAATTTGGGATAATAAATTGTTATTGGTCTAGGTAGTAATAGAGCTTATTGCCACTTATTTTATATAGGACTGGATCTGATCCCATTAGCAGTTTCTTTTTTTGTTTCTTTTGTCGGTCTTGAAGTAAGAATATCATAGAATAAGATATAAATATGATTATAGCCAAGTAAATGACTAACTCTGAAATATATTTTAAATGCTAGTATGGCATCTTGGCTGGCGTTGCTGTTTCAGTTGCATTCTTATTACATGCAGCAGCCTTACCTAGAATTGAGGTTAGATTTTGCTACCGGACAATTTCTGAAGACCGTAAAATTTAGATTAAATAAGATCAACAATTAGCATTTATGTTTTATCATCTTTTATCAACTAAATCTTGAATAGATCTATTCTGTAGTATCCTTTCCAAAGACAGTAGTTCTTAGATTAAATAATATTATGAGACAGGCTATCATACCCATCGTCATTTTAAAAACTGATTTGGGTGTAGATTTACACTGCTGTGTCATTTCTAAAGGCAACAAAATTTAAATTTATGTAATATCAAGAAATGATATATTCTGAGATCCCGTATAGATTTAGGCTACTGCATAATTTGTAAATGTAATAAAATTAAGGTTAAATAGCATGAAATATCATATTTTCTTCATACATGTATGCATCAGCGTCATTTTATCTACTAAATCCTTTAACATTCATATATTTTTCTGTTATGCGGTTATAGATGTTTGCTGATGAAGTATATGTCCTGAAAATTAACGGAAATTTGAACTATCCAGGCGTTGAACGTTTCATTAATTATATTCAGAATAAAATATTTGGCAGAAAAGGTAAATTCATGATAGATTAAAGCAACTAGATTTACCATATTAATTTGTAAATATTTACTCACTTGCATTTTCTTCTATGATTACCATAGGTGCTACGCGGAAATGTGTGGTTATAGATTGTTCCCATATTTTTATGATTGATTATACGACAACTCAGGGATTTAATCAAATTTTAGAAGAATTTAAGCGATTTGATTCTAAACTGCACTTTGCTGAAGTTCATGTAAGTACTTTGGACAGTCTAAACTTTCTCTACGGATCTTTGTTTTATAATTTATGGAGAAAATAGTTAAAATAGATGTATAGTACAATTCAAAGTTAAGGCAATTTAATATCATTCCAATATCTACCTGAAACTGTTGATATGGTGTTGTTAACTTATGATATTCAAAGTGAATAATTGCAAAATGAGAATGCCTTAAAAGCATGGAATTTTTTGGAATCTTATTAATGTTAAATTCTCTTAATGTTAAATATATTAGTGCTCATAACAAATCCAATATTGCCTTATTCTAATAGCCTAGGATACGTCGCACTTTAATTGCGGCCGGGGTTGATGATGGAATTATTTTTCCCACCGTTGATGCTGCAACGAACGCCTTCTATGGTAGGTTTAAGTAATGGGAAATTGCTTTTTAATCGCTTAAAGTAATAGTTGATCAATTGACTACTCCAAGTTAGTCAGTTCTCTACTTAATGCTTTATAAAGATAGAAAGATAATGTATAACTATCCATTTCAATTTGTAAATAGACTATAGCGCATGACTAATTCTAAGATTATTGCTTTGTAAAATCAAAAATTAAATTGCAATAATGCTGCTATCAAAGAATCAACATTAATATATAACTGTTTTAACAGACCCTGACCGAGAACTGGAAGATGACAATCAATCTGATTTCTGCATGACTTTCTTATAATAAGAATTTTAATCTCATTTTTATTTTATCGCAAGATTAAATAGCTTGGATAGAAAGTGAAAATTTGGCTATAAATCAAATCTATTATTCTATTGTAGTCATTTTTAAATTTAATTAAAGAGTGCGTTAGCTTTACAATTGATAAGAACATTTCTCATCTTTACTCGTCTCTCATCATTATTTAATTATACTAAGATTAATTGTTATCATAAAGCTATTGAATATGTTGCTGCAGCTTAGATTTTATTTTCTAGTTTATATAAAAAAGGACGATTTTAACTCTAATATCACTATCGGCCTACAATGGATCCTATATCATTTCTCGACATTGAATTTCTTTAATTTATATTACTATTTCAGCAATTTTGATAATCAATTGCATTATGTAAAGCCTTTACTTATTAATTTTGCCTGTAGTTCTATTCGGAGTTAATCTCAATCATCATAATATCGTCCTTTCAATTTGTAAAGCAAACCATGGATATGAGAAAACATTTCCATCATTTTTAAAATTATAGCTAGTAAAGGTAATAAAATTAAATAAGCTATCAATGCTATATATCCATACTTTGTCCATTATTAGTAAAATTTACAGATGCGCTTTAGAGCAATTTAGAGTTACCACTACTGGAGATGATAGAATTTAATTAATTAATAGCTCACTGCGCTATATGTTAACAAAATAAGCATGTAAAATAACTAAATTTTGCAAGACTATCATCTATATCAACTCGACTAAACGGAGATGACTTGAGAATAATATATAATTTATATTAGACGAAACTATATGATTGATTGGCTTCAAGACTATCACACGACTCAATCGATAATGCTCGTGTATTCCATTACATCACCTACAAATTAAATTAAATTATTATATTACTTGTCGATTCGTAGATATTTACTAATAGAGTAGCAATAATGTTTATAAATTAATTTATTTCATTACTTCGAAAGCTAACATAAATGCAAATAGGTTTATGTAACTTTACGTTATTTCTTACATAAACCAAAAAATTGATACCGCCATTACTATCTTAAATTACCGGCAATGCTGATTATACTGTACCCGTATTTGCATTAATTTTTACATTTATGAGAATAAAATAATAGATTACCAATTTATTAGATTTAACTCAATATTTATTTGGTATTTTAGAGTGCACGAATAGTGCAAATGTTAGCTTAAATCTCCGATACTTGAGCGTTCTATTTTAATTTTAATTGAAACAGAATACATAAAATGGTGAGCATCCTTCCATTATAGACGATCTACTGTATTGTAATTTTCATTTTGTATTTCCTACTAGTACACAATAGAATGCAAATTTTTACTGCTTTAAAATACTTTACAGAGAAAAATAGGTTAAAGCTGGCAGAGAAACTTCATCAAAACTCCGTTAGATAGAATAAATTAAAAATGTCGCATTTATTATTTAGTGTATGGCATACATTTAATTTTTGCAACAAGATTTATTGTTATTCAATGCTATAAAGATCTTTACTAGCATACAGTATAGCTCAGAATAAGCTATGAAAAATTGAGTTTACTAACAATAACACGCATGATAGCTATTTCACTTTGTCTAACAACTCAATTTTGTTATCTCTCATTTAAACTTATCGAAATATTAGCATAAGAACATAGTAGTAATACATTAATTATGAAAATCTCAAGGCAAACTTTCTTGTTTTTTCTGAACTTTACTCAGTTATTTAATAAGATGTATCCTTGTAATTTATTTGGCACGTTATCAAATAGACATAAACTGAAATACTGAGCTAAATCTATTTTACAAGGATAATATGTTAGCCGTAATAAGCATGTTTATTTCTTATGATAATATGCAGTAACGCTTAGGAAAAGATCAGTTTATACAATCTCTTCACTTTCTATATAACATGGAAAAAAATCTGCTAGAGTTAAATTTTTGGATAATTCTGTACCATATTATAACTGCACTAGGTCCTTAAATATGGTCTATAATATCAAAAGCATTATTTTTAAATAAAATAATTGATTCAAGATAGAAAGACAACACACAGAACCTATTGTAACGACCTTATATGACTTTAAACTTTATATTGGTTAAAGTAATTTACATAACAGTTGATAGCTTATGATTTTCCACTATTGTAACTCTCTAGGATATTATATCACTTGCAGTACGGTATATACTGTATAATTTCAATATTAAAATATTAGATTAATTTCCTCAATATTTAACTTAAGTATTATAGTTCTTTCAGTAAAATAAATCCTAAATGGTTAAATTCAACAGCATTCTCAAGGCGATGACATATTAGTATACAAAACTTGTCAACTATTTGTCACATTGAATTCGTTATCGCTATATTAATAAACTTACATTTAATTAGAAAATATCTATTGTGAGAATATACGAAGCAATAAATTAAATTTTCTCATTAACTGACTTCAAAGGACGATATTCATATTGATAATTCCGGTATAACACAATAAGGTATCCAGTCCATGTGGTACCCTCAAGTATAATAAAGTAGCAAATTCCTGACTCAAATAGAACTAAATCATTTCTTTCAAGTATAAGATCAAACTAATCCAGCAATCATGATCAAGAAATTATAACATTTTTTCTAGTCTACAGATACGGTTTCAAGAAAAATTTTTGAATAGATATAATTATTGCAATCAGATCTATACTATACGAGATATGTAAGCGATTTATAACTTTCGAACGTATAATACAATTAAGGATTATCCCGCCGTGTAAATTTGACGTAAAATTCTTTATCAGGTCGATAAACTGGTAAAGTTTTGTATTTTATATTGCAAACATCGGACTGGAATTGCCAATCGTAATTTTTGATTACATAAGAGATAGTTTCCTAAATTATTAATTAAATATAAACATACTTTTCTTTCGCTTGATAATTATAAGTGAAATACGAACATTTTAATTATTACTCATACCTGTAACATCATTTTCATCAGCGTTCTTCCTACACATGCACGGCGACCTCCTCCAAATGTCCATATCTTTCGGTTGTTAGAACTGAATCATGATTTTAAAGTGTTAGAATAAAACAGTTGATAACAACCAGATGTAATTCCTTCCTATTTCTTAAATGTATACTATTACGAGATTAAAATACAAAACATCTTATATTATTTACTCATTTAACCAACGTTCAGGTAAAAATTGATCGGGATTGGGAAAAGCAGCTGGATCACGATGAGCTGCATGAGTTAGATATAAAAGAGAACACCCTTTTGGTATTGTAAATCCACTTATGACACCACCCTAATAATGAATAAAAAATTATCAACATGTTCATTAGCATTCTAGTCAGGATGGATTTATGTATAAGTAAATACGGTATCTATGTCCTTATAGTAATTACTAAATATAGAAAAATTTTCAAATGTATCAGCGCATTTAAATTAAGATGAGTTTCGCACTGTAATTTAAAATAAAAGTAACTCATTTATTCTAGTTGCCATCTATGAAGAGCCGTAATATCTCTAATTGATACAAGTTATAAGTAACTTTTGATCAATATGTAATGACAGTATTTCAAATAAATTAGCCCACTGACATTAATACAATTATCTTACTTTAATACTCGTATATTACAAAAACAAATTAGTCTACTTCAGTTGTCTACATAAAATCCGTAAATATCTCAAACTAATGTAAGTTAGGCTGTGTATAATTTGCCATCGCATAGTATAGACAGCATTTCAAATATATCAGTGCATTGATATTAAAATAAGTATTTTGCTACAATATACAGCAAGAAACAACTAATCAATTTCAGCTGTGCGCTACCAAAGAATTATAAATATCTCAAAATTGATATACGTTATAGTTAATTTGATATTAAGTTGCTAATTAATTTATTGTATAAATTAAAAAATCATCAAATTAGATTCAGTAATGATCAGTTTATAATCAAGAAGGGTGATAATCTAGCTAAATGAAATTCTTGTAAGTATTTTAAGGCAATACAAGGGGCTAGAGATTAGTAGCCCTCTATCAGTAGAAGCTAGTGAAAAATTTGATAACAGCTTTCAATTACTATATTACTGAAAGTATTGGCAGAACATCAAATCAACTAACAATCCTAATCTGTTAGCCTCGACAATAAAAGTTGCTACTAAAAGTACTAAGGCTTCAAAAATTCGTTGGTTCTATATGACATACCTTAATAGCTTGCCTTTTACCTCCAATAAATGGCGGATGAAGTCTTTCTATTTCAGTCGTGATAGCATTTAGTAAATCTAAATCATTACGAGCTATGTCAACATAACGAGCCTAAAGGGATATAGTTTATATAATTATATCAAAACGCGAATTTGTTGTAAAATTATTTTATGTTCAAACTAGATTCATGTCGGAACGTACATGTCCAGTTTTACCAAGTTCGATAAATGTGGAAGCTAAGAGCGATGCTACAGCTTTAGGAGGTAAAGCCGATACAAATAGCAATATGTGGTTTCTCAGTTCTTCCCTAGACTTGAAGCCGGCATTGGATATGGTCTGGTTGAATCTTTAGCAAAGGTATAACATTGGATGAATACGTAGAGCGTAACCATAATAGTCTAACTATTCGTACATGACTATAATGTAAACATACTCATTTTTATCAAATCTACACAGTAATTCTTCAATCCTATCTATTAGCTCATCCTATATGATTCAATATAAAATAGAAGTTATTATTCTTATATAAAGTGCGTAAATGACAATCCATATAAAAACGTTAAGTGATATTAAGCGATGTTTAGGGTAAGCTGTTCTATAACCTTCGCTTTAATTGCTTTGCCAAATGTTGTAGACCATCCAGTAAAACTTGCGCTTACAGGAATAGAAATCAAGCCTATAATGGATCGTCACGTGTATATCGATATATGTTTAATAATCAACTTAGAAATGAAATACCAGTGCTTTATATTTTCTTTTCGGAATAATTACTTATAATTCTACACTTATATATCAATATATTATTAATAATTTAGAAATGGAATGCTAATACATTATCTATTCGGCAATAATTACTTGCTATTTCTACATTATAAATGGAACCTATTAAGAAAACTATTTGATACTACATGGGCATTACTGTGATACAATCATAAAAGACTAAATTTGCATTTATTATGTGAGAATAGAATGGAACGATCATTTATTAAAACTTTATATAAAATTATTAAAGTTTTATTTACCGTGCCAATGTTCCGTTGTTAACTCAATGATACTATCAATTTCGTGAGTTGATCCAGGATCCAATCCAAGAAATAAACAAACGGTAATATAAGAAGCTACTTGCTTGAATTTGGTATACAATGGTACTTCTTTCCTAAGGATTATATGATAGTCGATAATATCAGCTATAACTCAAACTTTAACCAAAATCATTAATTTATCATTTAGAAACAAGTGTTTATTATCTACTAATGTGAAAGGAATTGCTAACATTACACGGGTGCTAAACTATTCTTTAATTTTTTTTAGCAACCAAGTTGAGTTATGGCCATCAAAATAAAATCTATGTCAGTTGAATGATATACTTGTAACTATGACAGTTTATCTCGTCTATTGTTCTCTTTGATAAAGAAATACTATCAAAGCAACCTTATTTTACTTCTGTACTCGTAATTATGAAAAGCGACAGCTCAGCCGATTTACATTGGCATCAAGAAAGCCTTAAATTATACCATTAATTTTGCAATCAATGCTTAGTTCTATATTACAATGATATAGAAAATATTAATTAAAGATGAAATTTCTGTTTCTACAATCGAGACAACAATAGTAGTGTGCTCTAAGCAAGCAAAACTACAATATATCGAAGTTAACTGAGAGCTTGAATGCTTGTTATAGAGGTTGGTCCATTGTAAACAATCATTGCAGAAATATCATTCTATAATACCGCAGTTCAACAATGGACTGGCGAAATATTAGGGTATTGTATTAGAATTTGGTAAGTATAGAAATTGATTAACATAATTTGTTATTGCTAACAAATACTAACAATTCTAATAATTGATGACAACAATCTATATTATTCGCTATCTTACTCATGTTCGAGGCTGCCAAGGAGATTTTCTAATATCCTAACAAATGAATAAAAAGTTGATAATTAGAAGGAAACGATGTCATAACATCTGTAAATGAAGAGTATTGAAAAATAACAGCAAAAAGTAACGGCAGAAATAGATCAACAATTGCTGATTGAATTTTAGTGATACAGCACTGAAAGAGTAGATGATTTGGACACAAAGTACACCAGAATGATATCCAAGCAAAGAAACAATAACGAAAAAAATTGATGTTTCCGATTATCATTTCGACTCTACATTAGTCTACCAAATAAAAGGATTTATTACCAATTCTCATATATACGTACTCTATCTTATTTTGAGTGATATCTAACTTAGCTACACTAAAGTATAATTGAAATAAATTTGAGTGCAATCGATTCTTTAACTTACTTATGAATCATAGGGCCACATAACCTAGCTAGTTGATCAGGATCTAGACATTTGCCAAGTACAGCTTTGACTCGAGTAGCTTCTTTATCTGTAATCAATTCTGATGTTACTGTACTTTATTAAATAAGCGATTTTTGAATTATTCTATCAAGTTCAAAGCATTACCAAAACTAAAATCGATACAGCATGTAAAATTAATAACTCGTAAGAATTGCCAAAGCAGTGTAATATCGGTAGCAAAATAACATCGTTACTTTCTTTAATGCTATATTAGTACAAGATTGCATTCTTTCAGTAGTCAATGGTTAGAATAATAACTTACAAGGAATGTACAGAAATAAAATAGACCTAACATATAATCGATTTTCTTATCAGCCTGATTGTATTATCAAACTCTCTTACGCCTAAATTGATTTATCTTACGAAACTATTGATAATACTACCCATGTAGATCAAGTCAATGTGATACTAAAAGAATTATCGTATGAAGAGACAACGAAGCTATTAAATTTTTAATTTTAAAAATTATTGAAGTACGCCAAGTGTATATTTTAAATCTACTACCCTGACACATATTGTACTAATATCTATGTTATGACCCTTTTACATTCAGTTAATTAATGCTGGCTTAATACATAACAACCATCATCTTCAATATTATGATCCAATAAAATGTAACTTAAATATCTTATCACGCTACTGCTTAGAGATATAGCATGACTTGATGCAAGTTATTGCGTAGATCGTATGAAATTGGCAAATACCGTCATAAAATAAAATAATTATTATTATTCAAAATAGTGATGTGATTGCCTTGGACGTTGATACGGTCTTATCAATTCTACCGTTAAGGCTGATTAAACTGGTATTAGCAGTACTAACAACTTAATTTAGGATCAAAATTGAAGGCATTACTAGCATTAATCGTCAATTGAACTAGCTGGTTTATGTTACCGTTATAATGCAAGATATTTTCTCCCCATAACGCTTTATAACGATACTCCATATCATAAGTACCATTTGTATCTAAAAAGAAGAAGAAAATGAATAGATCAGCATGTGTTGTTAACTGCATTTTTAGTTTTCCTTTTTATTGGTATCAATAATACTGTTAGGCAGGAAAATCCGTTTAATGATTGCAATAAGATGGTACACCTAGCAAAAAGTAGACTGATCAAAAATAATTCTAGCCACTTTTCTTACCATTTAGTAATTGCTGCACTGCATCATACGATGCAAGAAAGATTGTCTGCCGATTGAGTAATCTACTCTGGAATATTCTACCATATTTTTGGATGTGGTTATTGACAAACTTCAACGAATCATTAGCAAATTCTAAACTGCGATCACCAATAATGGGCATGCCAATATGACCGGGAACTTTAGCCATGTAGACAGATGAAACGATAGAGGAGACGAATGGAAATACACGTAGACTATAGCAAAATCAAAGCTAAATTAAAAATGCAATGACTTGACTATCTTCAACTGGAATTAGAAAAGTTCAATTTGATCGCGGTTAGTCTATTGAGTTGACGTTGAATCTGAGATTCTTCTGACAAGAGTAATTAATTTATAAAGTAATGCGATATAGAAATAACGTTGTCAATCAATTAATTTGATGCACATTGTTGACGGAATGAAAATGACCGTTGTACAGTTTCCAATCTGACAGCTTTTAACTCAAACTCAAGCCTATTCTTCAATAGTATGCTTGGCCAATAGCAGTCATAGAGCCAAATTTAGGCATTATTAACATGGATACTTTGCTCCCCACTGCAATTGGGCCACGGCCTCTTGCTTGTAATACACGGCAAGGTTGAAGTTGTCAAACCTTGGTAAGCCTGACAAACGAATTAATTCAATCAATTAAATTGGAAGAAATCGACTAAAGTTGGAGCAACATTCCGGACATGCAGGCTGTTGACTACCTATGAAGTAACAACCCTTAAGCCTAAATAACTGAATATCATGTAACGATATCACGATTATTTAATACTGTACAGTTGATAGATAAAGGTTGGTTTAGCTTGACCTACATCCTTCAATACAATGCATTCTTATCAGTGATCAAATAGTCCACAATCTTATCTATCTGCAGTATAATAGGTAGTGGGCCATAGGTTACAATAGGAGAACAATCGACAAACTAACTTGTATTGTTGTCCTTCATTAGAATAAACGATTGGATATACTACAGTATAGTATACACTCAGCGCACACTACAAATGTAACCGGATGACAAGTTGAAATCTATTCGATGTTCGATGAAATGTACCAGTCACAGATAGGAGCGAACCTCCTGTGGAAATAAAAACTTTGACTACATACATTGCGTTATTGACGCTACTTGCGAAGAAGACATGACTAGGAATAGGATGCGATGGGCTGTAATACTGCACTACAGTAAGATATATTGGAGGATGTCGGCAGTATCCATGTCTGGAGATGAGATTGTTCTATTTTAATGGCCGATCGATAGCTGATAGACTTACGATGTCCATCGCCGTTATGACTTTTATCCATGCACTTTCTCTGCTCTTTTTCAGAAATTGCTATCACAGAAGACCATCGCTCATGTCGAAAGTTGACGACAGAATGGATGGCGTCTCAAAGTGCTCATTGAAGAGTATCGAATAGGTTTTGAGAATGTGCTCTTTGTGATATGAATTAAGTCATGATGAAGCGCATTGACAGGCTAGAGAGTGCACGACATTGACCAGACATGCTATCAATAATTAACTGGTTTTCAAAAAATTGCATTGATGCATCTATTGGTCAAGTTCAAGTCATGGTCAAGTTCATGTCATGGTCAAGTTCATGCAGTGTCGCCTAATCTCGCCTGTACAATATGTGATGGTGTGATTCATTCATTCAGCTAGTTATGAGCTGAAATAGAGTCCATTTTATTATTTCGCCCGCTGTATCAAGCTTGGCGATTGGATTCATTTTTTGCTGTAATACAATATGACATCAAGAGCAGTATAGTATAAAACAATGCAAAAGTGCCATAACAAAATAGCTTTGAGTAAGACATCCGCCAGTACTTGTGGTAGTAATTTACTTGTAGTAGAACTCCTATGCAAAATGACGGCGAATAGTAAAAATCGTTGTCATTTTGTATAGAAGTTGTACTAAGTCAATACCATCCTTTGCGGCATTGGCGCATCGAATTGTGAACATCCACTTCCAAATGGAATGGGTCTACATTAACAGTCAAGGGACTCTCTACCACGGTGGCTCCGCTCGCAGCTTTTCTGGTCCTGTAGTCTCTAGTTCGTCATGACTACAGTATTGACTCGGTACTCCTGCGGACTGAAAGAAATACGCAGGTGCAGTCCGCGAGGAACGGAAGTGCGCATCCGCATTCCCTTCCATTCCGTAGTTGACCCGCACCATCGATTCGCTCGTACAATACTGTACAGTGTACAGTACAGTACTGGTACTGTACACTGTACACTGTACCAGTACTACAGTGCAAGTACGGTAGTTGCGCCAGTCAGGCAAAAGATAAACACGTTCAGGCTTGAATCGTGTCAGCATCACCGGTGACCACTGGTACTACAGTACAGTACCGTCTAGTGCAGTCCGTTCCAGTCCGATCCGGTCCAGTACTGGACTGGACTGCAGTTCGGCGTCATGACACAGAAAGGAAAATCTGCAAATGGAGTCTAAGCGGCCTAGCAGGCTAATGCCATCGGCTCCTCGATATTCGTCTACTACGGCTTGACGAGTTATGCGTGCTGTAGAGCGAGCGAGAAGAGTTCTCCTATTGCTACCAACGCAAAAAGTGGATCTAAGATTGAGAATTGGAGACCCATACGTCTACCTATCCAAGCTTAGGCCAGCTTTCTAGCCTATGCAAGCGACGCCATTACCAACAGTCCAATCACCTGACGACAGCATCTTCATTGGCGCTGGATCAGCCGTCCAATGATAGTAGGTCATCTTCCATCTTAAGGTAAGCAAACTTGATCGATAGACTCTCAGATATACGATGAGAAGCATACAGTAGTCGCCAATGAAGCAAACTGCAGATGCATACGCGTAGTACGATCATCGTTAGATGCACACCTGCAATAGCCACTCTTATCCATTCCATGGCATTCATTTGTCATGGCATGAAAGGATGAGTTATTGACATAGACTAATTCCATCAACAGGTCTAGAAGGGATTCCTAACTTGGTTACATCATCTCAGCAACAAGCCTTCTACTGGATCGACTGCAAAATGGTAGGCAATAACGAGGATGACGATGTTGTTTGGGATTTTAAAATCTACAACAAAATTAAAAAGGGATCAACCAAAAGACCCAAGAAAAAAGCAAAAGGACGCAAATTAACGCTGAACATCACTCATTTTACCCGCACCTTTTCAGGTCAGTCAACTGTCGATAGGATAAACAACTCTTGAATCCATTATACAAGTATTGGACTAAAACCTACATAGTGCAAAATCCAATAGGTGTACAGTAATACTATTATTCGCAATACCTTCTGTACTACATGCATTCATCAACAACATCAATCTCCACGCGTCGATTCATTGATGCACAACCGACCCATTCTGTACAGTACTGTAATCATCATTTCATAACATAAATTCATATCTCTTGTCTTATGCTAGGTTCTACACCGGAGACCTCAAAAAATGCAAATGATAATCCGACTACCAACGATAACGATGATGACGAGGTTATTATCGTATCAACTCCCCCGTCATCCTTGAGTAACAGCCAAAATTTAAAGAATCAAACCATCAATGGCATTCTCGATCCTATCCCAAGCGATATCAATCAAGAGGATAAGGATAATCATAACATGATGACAACTCAGACTGGAGCTCAAACTCAATGCAATCATCATCGTGACATTGATGAAGTTTCTAACTGCCCAAGTCGACAGGATAATTCAGCTTTCCTTGAAAAAAACAATACAATACATCAATCATCTTCTGCAGACGCCTTCCAAAATAGTGATACACTACAAATGGATCAGGAGAATAGACAGGATGACGTTGCTGCTAACTCGAACCATGAATCTGTTTGTATCACAGACGAAGAAGGAGAAGATCAGCATAATTCAACGGCTGCAATGGATAACAGTTATCTTCATTTGATGGAAGGCAGTGATGACGATATTGATGATCTAGTAGTCATCCAATCGCTAACTAGAGATCCTAGCCATTTACTTCTAGTCAAAAGTGATAGTGACATTGTTGATGCAGCCAAACAAGATAGCATCCAATCAACGACACAAGATCATGATGATAAAACGGTATCAGATACATCAACACCAATATCCAAGAAAGCTCCCAAGTTGTCATACTTCCAGAGGACATATCAGTTAGCACAGAAAAGGAAGAAAAGTGACATGCAACAGAGTTCTATCTTGAACTATTTTTCATGCCCTAACAAAATGGTGACCAAACCTAGCGTAAGCCAAAGCAAGAACAGCAGCCATAATCAGGAAAGTAAGCAATCTAATAAAATACGAAAATCCAACAAATGGAATGACCCTAAAGGAAAGAGAAAATGTCCCTTTTATAAGAAAATCACTGGTAATGAGTAGCATATTGGTCGTAAAAATCACACATAGCTAGTGGATTAATGTCAGCATGCATAATTAATCGATTCTTATTGTACTAAACTAAATTATCTGATAATTCTACAAGTACCATATACTGTACTAATAATGAACTTACTTCATTCTCAATATGATTGCATGTCCTATCAAATAGGTACAACATTTTGCGTTGATGCGTTTAGCTATGGTCCAATCTCTGGCATAACTGCCTACTTTTTAAGTCATTTTCATTCGGATCACTACTATGGGCTAAACAAAACTTTTAATGCTAAGCTTTATTGCAACAAGATAACCGCCAATTTGGTCAGTAGAATGTTACATGTCGAAAAGCAATACATCACAATTTTACCAATGCATCAATCAGTTGTAGTGGATGACGTCGAAGTTACGCTGTTAGACGCTAACCAGTAAGTACAATAAGATCTGTTGCTTCTTATGAAAGCCACTTTATGCAGTATTCTAATAGCAAAATCATGACAGAATGATCAATGAAGCCTTTGGAGTAAGTTAATCTCTTCACTTTTGTAGTTGTCCTGGTTCTGCCATGTTTGTCTTCAGACTACGTAATGGCTCTGTTCACTTACACACAGGTATTGAAGGTTCACCAGAGATATACTTGTATACTGTACTTTAGATATTAGTGAATGTGGCTCTGTACAAACGGATAGGTTTAACTCTTCATCATCATCCATATATTGTTGCATTAAATTGAAGACATTTTGTAGGAGATTTTCGAGCCTCAGAAGAAATGGAAAAATTGGATATACTAAAAAATAGTGTAATATCCGAACTGTATTTAGATACCACGTATGTATAGTATCATCAGAAAAATTATCATTAGCTAAACTATTGCCTGCCAAGTGATTTTCAATTGTTCGTATTATCAAAATAATTACTACTACCAGATACTGTGATCCGAGCTACGATTTCCCATCGCAAAAATTTGTGCTAGACTATGTATTGGCAACCGTCACCGACGCATTAAAATGTAACAAGCGTTGTTTAGTAGCTTGTGGAACATATACTATTGGTAAAGAAAAAGTTTTTCTAGGTAACATGGGCATTAGTCGTTTTATAGCATTTACCATACTCGTATTAATCAAATTAATTCTACATTAGCCATTGCCAGGGCCCTGGAGTGCAAGGTATACGCTCAAAAGAATAAACTTGGAACGTTACAGTGTTTAGAAATTGAGAATTTTAAGACATTATTTACTTCCGATCCACATTCTACTTTTCTTCATGTCTTACCAATTTGGTCCGTTAGTGCAAAGGTATGTTTAAATGATTGATAAAATATTTAACTTAGAAAATCGCGTTGAAATGTTTTTAATGCGGCCAAGTACTTATTGCAATACTAGATTACAATCTATTATTGCACTTAATTTATGATGATTTGCAGTGCAAAAGTTGATATTAGTAAGATAATGAAATAAATCCAACATATTTTGATGAAACTGGACGCTAATATGACTATAAAATTTACGATATCCAGTTTCTTAGAAATTATTTAGACCAAAACGCAGATCAATTTGACTGTGCAATTGGATTTAAACCTACTGGATGGACTCATACGAATAATGTTACTGCTTCTGGAATTGTTGCCAGACAATATGGATCGATATCCATATACGGTAAGGGCGAAATAGTTTCTATTTGTTACTAATGTTGCCCTCTGTACTCAAAATAGCATTCTGAATGAAAAGATATAAATATAGTTGATAATAATTTTTAAATATTATTCCTGATTCCGTAGGTGTACCTTACAGTGAGCACAGCAGTTATAGTGAGATGAGACGATTCGTACAATTTACGAAGCCCCGAAAAATTATCCCAACGGTTAATGTTGGTTCGCCTGAGAAAAGACGTGAAATGAATATGATCTTTCAGCAATGGCGGTCTTGAAATCACGTGGCCCTGATAAATCGTATTATCGGTTATGCAAATTTTATTATAAAATGTTGTTTGATGTAAAGTCTTGTAAATTTTATTTAGGCGAGTATCGATTAGATAGTATTATAGTATGTTTTTAATGTGACGACCGAAGCATTGTAGAACCTGTAAATATTGAAATCGTCACACTGCTACAATTGCAGTGGCGAGGTCGGATGTTCTATACACTTGCTCACCAGCAACTTTATAAATCAACTGTAGTACAGTGTAATAACTAAGCAGTTTAAGCGATTTATCAATTTTGAACTTTTTACTTTATTACCATGCAAAATCAAGATCACATTGTTTCACAGCATTATTTAAAGCGTCACGACCGATACTAATATGCGCAGGACGTATAGCCAAAGAATTATAGCATAGAAATTTTTCCGCAAGGAAACAAGCACTAAAGCAAATTAATATCATCATTAGTTCTATCAATTGATGGAAATGATATCATTTAATAATTATACATATTGAGAAATTGCAAATCGTTTGTAAGCATATCAGAAATTATAAATGCTTTTAAACATTTAGCTAGACTATATTATCAAAAAATCAAGGATGGATAATGTAGGGAGACGAAGCTCACAAACCCTACAGCAACGAACAATTTGACTAAGGCAATAGCTAGTGCACATAATCGATGTTCACATAAGCAATCAAATAAACATAATCAATTCTTTATAAACCATGTTTCTGTATCATTTTTAAGAGCTGAAGCATAATATTAAGCAATTGTATTTAATAAAGGCCAATTTTCCATTGTAATCATAGACTTGGCTTTTTCGACAACGGGTGTATCTGCATCGAGGAGACTTGAGCACTGCACTTTCTTTAGCTACATAGATAGCAAATTCAATAGTTTATTATGATATCCTAGCAATAGAAGGTAGGTGAACCGATTCATTGTCTACTTACTTTTGACTTTGTAGATCTCCGTATCCATACAAAAGCTAAAAAATTCTGGACGCTTTCTGAATCTTCGTGTCATAACCTCAACTTGTAAACCCTATTAAAAGATTAATAATATAGTATGGGAATTTTGCTGCAATTTAATTGTCAACACGCACCGTATTCAATGTACAATGCTTCTTACCCCTGTCGACCATAGTTGCAAATTTGATTTTAATGCCATTTCATAAATCTCTTCGCGACTCCAATTCTTGCGCGCTTTCGCAGTAGTAGCCATGTTTACGTTTGTGTCGGTTTGATTCTCATTTAAACTTCCATTATTAGTAATATTGAAATTATTTACAATAGTTTTATTTTGTTGTATAGTTTGATTGTTAAGCATCTCCAAATTTAATAAGTCTCTCATTCGCTTTTTATTAATGCGCCTGTATAGACAATTATCACCAATGTTTACCAGGAAATCGTCCTAAAATGAAGGTATACATCCAATTATTAGCTAGAACTACAATAGATACTTATCACAAGTACCGGTGGATAGTAGATAATTGCATTTAAAGTGATTCCATTTACAAAGATAATGTACAAAGCCTTCCTTAATGCCGACATTAATTCATTAATGATATCAATAATAATCAAGGGTTATCGAAATAAAAGGACCTTTATTATGGTGTGTGCGGTTAATTGTATCTATTATATCAGTAATGTAATGTAATGTAATAGTAGTGCCTTTGACTAAGCCCGTACAATGAATTATCTGTTTGGTTGATCGCAATTACACATGTGAAGCAAAAACTGTTGAAAAAAAATCTGGCGTATTAATGTTTATTGCTATTTCAAAAACTGTTTGTCATCCATATTCTCGTATATTATAAAGAGATACTCTACTACTATTTCGCTAAATCTGCAGTATTATGTTTACTGACATTTAACAAAAAGTAACCCATATAATATACTAAAATTATGGCTCATATAACTTAGTCTTTTTATGATAACCTGCCTGATTTATCAAGCATCATTTAGTTTAAACACGAACTCAGAGATAGCCCTGCGGTACACATAGAATATATAACGCGAAATAAATCATTAAACTATCATTATTACTATCCTGGCTTTAAATTAGAAAATAAAAAACTATAACAATTCCTAACCTTGGCGACATCGATCACAACAAATGCTCGCCCTATCAATTCGACAGGTTGATGATTTGTAACTGTAGGTCCAGGTAAATTTCTCGCAGAAATTCCGGCAATCAGGAAAAATAACACAATCATAAACTTCATCTTGAGATAATGTAATAGAGATGAGATAGTCCAAACTATTTATTCTTTTGATCGTTTCTCTTCAACGGAGGGTAAATTATAAATCCGGAAGGGAAACCTTGCTGTTTTATACTTTTCTGCTTCAATGACTTTCTATTTATCCGCGCTGACTAACGATTTAAACATGGAATTTTGGGATAAGCAAATTACTATCACACTCAATCAATCGGCACCATAAATGATTTATTCACTCTAACACAAAAATACATATGCTTAATATATCGTGAAAGATATGGCATTCTACTATTAAAGTGAGATAAATACTGTATCAATTTCTTGCTATTGTAGAAATAAAACGATAAATCTTTATCTATGACGCCAACGTGGTGCCGACATGATTGGCAATGTCTATTGTTAGCACACTCAATATAAAGTATCAGATGAGTAATTTGCTATTAATAGCGCTGTGTTCCTATTTTTAATATAACGGAAAGAAAGACGGTACATCCATACGTAACAAAATAGCAATAAATCCCGCACTTCCTAAAATAGATTTGTTTTCTATATCTTAAAGTGGATATTGCTATCTTTACTTGTTAAGTAGTTAAGTAAAATTTTTTTGAATACTGTATCCTGTATGCATTTTATTCTTACTGCCATATATAGCTAACAAGCACTAATTGAAGTTGCTATCTACTGTATAATTTCGTTCATCATTTCAATTTTATAATTACGCTGATTCTGTTACAATTAAGGTATATTTATTTGACGTTAATATCTGTTAATGTCAATCGATTTCCGCTTGTCATAGCGCAATATAGCTTGTGTATGTTATGCGGTTATTTTGTAATAATCATTAGCCATCATTGATACTCGTATATGTATCTCTCAATCTGTAACATAATCTATGGTGAATAATTGTATGAAATACTTAATAATTGAGTTATCAACGTCATCAATTCCTCTCTTACCTTGGATAAATTTAGTTACATTTACACCGTACGTTGTAATTTGGCGCTAATCTTTAACGATGGCTACTAATTAAGATTACCTATATTATTCCTTGCAGCAGAATTTCGTAACACAAGGAGATCGTTGAATGAATTGATTGTGCTAGTAAATATAATGCATATTGCTCCTAAAATACATGCTAACTTAGGGCATAGTGCCAATTTCATTCTAGCGCTTAATACAACGATAGTGTCCAAATTTATCGCGAATTTTAAGTACTGTTAACATATAGCCACTCTGATTTCATAATTTTAATCCATTTCATTGGCCTACCTAACAACTTGAACTAAATTAATAAGTGTTGGTAGCCAACCATAGGTAGAATGGAAAGCTTTTATCTTACTTCTGTGGTAGATATATTTTCATAATCCCTGTACTTAAAACAGTTTAACCAATAGAAGGCACATATGTACCATAGAAATAAAGAAAGATGGTATGATATACAATATATCCTCTTGCTCCTTATTATTATTACAGTGCAATACCACGAATAGGTGGAGTCTTAACCATTTAATATTAGCAAACAATTTGTCGATTTATTATAACAGGAAAGATAGACAGTAATTAACTCTTTCAAGATGACACCTACATTGGATCACCTTTTACTGCCATTTAAATAAAGCGCATTTATTAAGCTAATACTAGACGACACAGTTTTTACAATTGTCTTTAGACACGCATTAGCTCTACACCTTCAAAGACAATTTTATGGTAATGAAATTAAAATCTACATGGCTAAGATTGACATTTTTACTTACAAGAACTAAATATCGAGATGACTTATTAAGTGCCTGAATTTGTAGAAATATTTGATAATTTATTCGTTAAGGTAATCAAAATGTTGCACTGAAATTTGGAACCTCATAAAATTGTGCTTAGTTCCTTTAAATTTCTAACATGAGTGATTATATTAATGTACGAGTATGAGATAGAAGTACTGTAACTTCTGTGAACTACAGTAAACTGATATGTTAATCTAAGATTAATGCTAATCGCAATCAGAATGAGCTCAGTATTGCCATATTCAGCAACATACGTTTTTGATTTTCCATGAATCGAAAATAATAATATACTCTCCCTTCCTGTTAATCGCTACCTCTCTTATTTAAAACTTTTGGAATACGCAATTTCAAATATTTTAAATATTGTGTTAACGTCGATATTACATTAACTAACAGTCGTCGGTTTCCTAAACTGACTCGATGATAGGTTTCGCTAATTGTCTTTCAAGGTATAAAGAGACTAGTTGTAATTCGAATAAAAAAAAATTGTAAGGAAATTGCAATATGCATCATATTTAGTAGTATATAATGTAAAAATAATGGCGGACTCTAGCAATTATTAGTTGTTTACTAGGTATCTTAATAACTATAATAACTTCCCGCTTTTGTACGTAAGCTAAACTAGGATAATACTTGTAGATAGAATAATTTAGGTACTTTTATTACATCATGAGACGGCTAACTTTGTGATGATTTATCTTTTGTTATGTTAATGCTTAAATTATGCTAATTTGACTGATGATCTAATTCCCCATATACATTCAAGGCTAATTAATATAGTCGAATAGATTCTTGACCAGCTATAGGATTGGAAAACCTGTATAGCTTTAACACAGAAATTATCCTCAATGATTTCCGTTCTTTATTCCAAGTTATAGTAGATGATTGAATTGTGCTCTCATTGATTATTTTTGATATAACGACTGCATATATATATGAAGCCCTAAAACATGGGTAATCGATCTTTCAAGTCTACTATACGTATACCTCAACAAATTAAATCCCTCTTTGAAAAAGCTATAGAAAATCATCAATCCGGCAACCTTAATGAAGCCTTATCCAATTGTATACGAGTTTTGGATAAAATCCAAGCTACATCCCGGAGTACTATTGATCTTAATCGGATGCGATGTGAGATTTATCTTCTTGTTGGCGATATATATATACAACAAAGTGAATGGATAAAAGCTAAAGAATTCAATGAAAAAGGACAAGAAATGGCCGAAAAGCTGCAAGAAAATGTAATCATTGTCCGATGCTTAGATCAACAAGGTGATATTCAAAAGGTGCAAGGAGATTTGAAGGGGGCATCGGATAATTATGCTAAATCATTGAGTATAAAGTTAAATTATTTAGGCAAGGAAGACCTAGATGTCAGTAATTCATATGACCGGATAGGAAATATACATTATGCTCAATGCAGATATGACGAGGCTCTCTCTATGCATGAAAAATCACTCAAAATTCGATTATCAGCCCTTGGTCACAATCATTCTGATGTGGCTAAATCTTATAGCAATATTGGAGAAAGCTATTGGGAACAGAGTAAATATGAAGAGGCTATTTGTATGCATGAGAAATCGCTCAAAATTCGATTATCAGTTTTTGGCCTTAATCATCCTGATGTTGCTACATCATATAATAACTTGGGAAATGTCCAGGCTGATCAAGGCAAGCAGAAAGAGGCCATTTCTATGTATGAGAAGTCGCTCAAAATTCGCTTGCAAGTTCTTGGTCATAATCACTTCGCTGTTGCTCAATCATACAATAATTTAGGAAATATCTATGCTGATCAAGGTAAGTATGAAGAGGCTATATCTATGTTTGAGAAATCACTCCAAATTCGATTGTCGATTTTTGGTCATAATCATGCAGATGTTGCTACATCATATAACAACTTGGGAACTATATTTTATGATCAGGGCAAGCATGAAAAGGCTCTCTCTATGTATGAGAAGTCTCTCAAAATTCGATTGTCAGTCCTTTGTAGCAATCATCTCGATGTTGCCCAATCGTATAACAATATCGGTCTTATATATGGTGATCAAGGCAAGCACGAAGAAGCTATTTTTATGTATGAGAAATCACTTAAAATTCGATTATCAGCTCTAGGTCATAATCATTGTGTCGTTGCTCAATCGCACAATAACCTGGGAAATGTCTTTGCAGATCAGGGCAAGCATGAAGAAGCTATTTCTATGTATGAGAAATCGCTTAAAATTCGATTATCACTTCTAGGTCCTAATCATGTTGCTGTTGCTACATCATATAATGATGTGGGAACTATATATTGTGATCAAGGAAAATACGACGAGGCCATTTCTACGTTTGAGAAATCAGTCAAAATTCAGCTGTCAGTTCTTGGTCCTAATCATCCTACTATAGCTCAATCCTATAACAACATCGGAAATGTATATTCTCATCAAGATAGGCACGAAGAAGCTATTTCCATGTATGAAAAGTCACTCAAAATTAATTTACTAGTCTTTGGTCACAATCATATAAGTGTTGCTGCATCATATAATAACATGGGGAATGTCTTTAAAAATCAGAGCAAGTATAATGAAGCGGTCACTATGTATGAGAAATCGCTCAAAATTCAACTTTCAAACTTTGGTCACGATCATCCCGATATTGCTTCATTATATAATAACATGGGGAATGTCTATGCTGATCAGGAGAAGCATGAAGAAGCGATTTCCATGTATGAGAAGTCACTTAAAGTTCGATTATCAATCCTTGAGAACAATCATCCCGATATTGCTGCATCCTATAATAACATTGGGGTCGTTTATAGGAAGCAGACTAAATATGAAGAAGCTATTTCCATGTTTGAGAAATCGCTCGAAATACAATCATCAGCCCTGGGTTACAATCATCCTGAAGTTGCCAAATCCTATAGCAACATGGGAAAAGTTTATTGGAAGCAGAGTAAATATGAAAATGCCATATCTATGTATGAGAAATCACTCAAAATTCGATTGTCAACTCTTGGTAGCAATCATTCTGAAGTTGCCAAATCATATGACGACCTGGGAGAAGTCTATAGGAAGCAAAGTAAGTCTATGGAGGCTCTTTCTATGTACGAAAAGTCGCTCAAAATCCGATTATCAGTTTTTGGTCACAATCATCCTGCTTCCGCTCAGTCATATAACAACATTGGACTAGCATATTGTGATCAAGGCAAGCATGAAGAGGCCATTTCTATGTATGAGAAATCACTTAAAATTCAATTATCAGTCCTTAATCATAATCATCCTGATATTGCTATGGCTTACGGAAACCTAGGAATTGCCTATTCTCTCCAGGCCAAATATGAAGAGGCTATTTCTATGTATAAGAAATCGCTCGAACTTCAATTGTTAGCCTTTGGTACTAATCATCCCGATGTTGCCAAAACATATAACAACATGGGAACCGTCTATAGTGATCAGGGAAAGTATGAGGAGGCAATTTCTATGTATAATAAGTCACTCAAGATTAAGTTATCAATCTTTGATCACAATCATCCCGAAGTTGATAAATTATACAACAACATGGGGATTGTATATTTTCATCAAGATAAGCATGTAGAAGCCATTCGTATATTTGAAAAATGCCTCAAGATTGTTCTATTGATCTTTGGCCATAATCATGAACGCGTTGCTGCAACTTATAATAATATGGGAAATGTCTACAAAAACCAAGGCAAATATGAAGAAGCTATTTCTATGTATGAAAAGTCACTTAAAATACAAATGTCAGTTCTAGATCATAATCATCCTGATGTTGCTGCATCATACAATAACATGGGAAATGCCTATAAAAATCAGGGCAAGCATGAAGAAGCTATTGCTATGTATGAGAAGTCTCTTAAAATTCGGTCATTAGTACTTAGCCACAACCATCCTGATATTGCGGCATTATATGACAACATAGGAATTGTATACTCTTGTCAAGGTAAATATGAGAAAGCTAATTCTGCGCTTGAGAAGTCACTTAAAATTCGATTATCAGTCTATGATAGCAAGCATCCCGATATTGCAGCATCCTACAACAACATGGGCGAAGTCTACAGGCAGCAGAGCAAACATAAAGAGGCCATTTCTATGTTTGAAAAGTCACTCAAAATTCGACTATCTGTCCTTGGTGACAATCATTGCGATACTGCTGCTTCCTATAATAACATAGGAGAAGTCTATTGGAATCAGGGTAACCACGAAGAGGCTATTTATATGCATGAGAAGTCGCTCGAAATTAGATTGTCAGTTCTTGGTTGCAACCATTCCGATGTTGCTCAATCCTATAATAACATTGGCCTTGTATATTATGATCAGGGCAACTATGAAGAGGCTTTACCTATGTACCAGAAGTCACTTAAAATTCGATTATCAGTCCTTGGTCACGAACATTCCGCTGTGGCCCAATCATATAACAATATTGGAGCTGTTTACTATGCTCAAGGAAATCATGAAGAGGCTCTATCAATGTATGAGAAGTCACTTAAAATTCGATTATCTGTTCAAAGCCACAATCATCCTGATGTTGCCCAATCATATAATAACATCGGCTTTATATATTGCAATCAGGGCAGGCATGATGAGGCTCTATCTATGTACGAAAAGTCACTTGAAATTCGATTATTAATCCTTGATGATAATCATCCCGCTATTGCCCAGTCATATGACAACATAGGAAATTTATATGATGATCAGGGCAAGGATGAAGAAGCGATTCCTATGTATGAAAAATCACTCAAAATTCGATTATCGGTCCTTAAAGATAATTATCCCGACGTCGCTGCATCACAGAATGTAAGAACTGTGCGCTTTCGTCAGAGCAAACATGAACGGGCTATTTCTTGGTATGAGAAATCACTCGAAAATAAAGTGTCTGCTCTTGATCAAAATCACCCCGATACTGCGATGTCATACAGGAATCTTGGAAATATCTATTCTCGCCAGTGCAGGCATGAAGAGGCTATATCTATGTACGAAAAATTACTCAGAATTCAATTATCAGACTTAGGTCACAATCATCCACAAGTCGCAATATTATATTACAAGATAGGAAGTGTCTACGATAGCCAGGGCATGTATGATGAGGCCCTATCAATGTATGAGAAATCATTTGAAATTTTATCATCGCAATCATCATAATCCTTAGCTAGAGGTATACAGAAGCTATCAATAATTAATCAAGGCAAACGTGAAGAGACTTAAAGTATTTATGAAAAATTACTTAAAGCTCTAGTATAACTGTTTGACCACAATCATCTTGATACTGTTAATCCATATAGAAGCCTTCGATGTTTATTGTACTTAAAAAATTTCGATAGATCGTGATTATTTGTATTAGGTATTGAAAGCTATCAGATGTTTAGTATTTGCGAATGTTTTATAGAATGGTTAATCAACATATTTGTATTATCTATAGCGATACCACAATATAACATGGATCAAAGTCTTTATACATGAGAGGCCTATAAGGAAAATTAGAATTTTCTCTATGTTAGAGTGAAAAATAAAAAGCTTACTTCATATAGTGATGTAGCAAAGTCAATTTATTAGTTATTTAATTAATGAGTTTAAAATGTAAACTGTTAAAAGTAAAGCAAGCAAAACAATAAATGATAGATGGAAATATAAAACTATGAAGACGTACTAGAATAATCAAATAACAAACTAATACATTTTAATAAACTATACCAATTTAAGAAAACATTATAACCGCAATGAGTAGTTGAAAATATTTACAAATAGTATTCTAAAAAATTTATGTTGTGCCAACAAGAATTTTAACTTGTTTCAAGGCAAACTTCAGCACCAGCTAGAAATAACCACTCTTTTGATAATAGATAATGCCAAGTCAAATAAAGAAGTAATATAGATTCTTACCTCTATAACTTATTATTTTAAATCCTTTAAAATTCATGCTCCTTCCTCTAAAAATCACGCCGTACTCTGTAATCTAATATGCAATATTTATTACATTCTGTAAAGTAAGTCTTATACTGCATAGCCGATCATGGTATGACTACGCAGTTGTTATTCACTATTAGTAATTTGAATTCCACTATCCGCATAGATACAGTATCAAGATTTGCGATAAGAACATTCACGGGCTTTTATAACATTTAGCAATATATTTCTTTGAATACGAATGCTACATTATGTAGTTACAATCTTTTCCACCATACGATCCGTTTAATTACGCAAATAATATATTTGATTGTACTTGTTATTCATTCTTAGCCTATTTTAAGACTGTAATCTTGCATATCGATTAATTAGTAGAGAGTACACTACATTAAGGGATACAAGTTACACTATAAGGATAAGATTTGAAGTTCAAGAGCAATGATTCAGTTGGGGCAGGTATTAGTTAGCGTTCAGACTATGACTGTCCTTGATGAAATTCGTAAGTAGCGTACAAGTGAAGTCTGTGTCGATCAATATGGGGAATAAACACCGTAAGTTATTGCCACCGTATGCGGTTAGAAAGGTTGCAACCCTGCTGGATCTCCATTATTTTGTAAAGTCCAGCATGATCGATAATAACACGTACGGAACTGCGATAGAAAAGGACTAAGCTAGGAAGAAGCCTCTGGATGCTGTATCATAAGATAAATGCTATGGATGTCAGCTTAATAGATGCAATGGCCACTAAACCAACACAAATCACTATTACAAAATCTTGATGGATTAGGCGATGTTGAAATACTTTGGAAAGTTCTTTCAAAGTGAAATTAAAAATATCAGACAGTACTAAAAATCTACAACACAATATATTGCTTCCGTACATCAATCATCATAATTTAAAACATTTATTACACTTTAGATAAAGCGTCCACGTATTAATTATCGATTGATATTGCAAAATAAGTTTTACCGCAAGTGTTACACACGTCAGTTTTTGTTGCTAATTAATAAAAGTACTACCATTTAAAATCCAGGTACATTAAGCAATACATACTGATTACATAGCTTGCATTTTCTTATCTTTTAGACGGTAATATGAATACTAAGGTGGAATCGATGTAGACCCTATTTTTATTTTCAGTTTCTTAATTTCTTAAGGTACTTAAATTACAGCAAGATATAGCAAAACGATAATCTACTGTATATTGATTCAAGTTCACTGCTATACGTTAGCGATGAGAAAAAAAGTGGGTTTAAATATCTATTTAATACATCATCAATGTGAATATGGCAGCCTACTCTAGCTAATTTATCAATAGCAATAAATGAAATATAATGGTAGGATAAAAATGAAAATATCAATCCCAAATTTATATGCTACGTGCATTAACTAGGGATGCCTACTTATAAAATTTTTCGTCGTGTATGATTCAGATAATACAATCTCCAGTTTGGGCAACCTATCTTATTACTTCGAAGTATCATCTAGGTTAACACTTTATTTTTAAAATTGCGCCCATTCTGAGTAAGGTAAAAATCGAACTTTTACCTCCACCATTCCACGCAGTAATCTTTCCAGACGTTGCATGTCATCTTCTTTGGATGAAATATTGAAACGTTGGACTTTAAAATTATGAATTTCAGTCACTTGGTGTGAATGAGTGATGCGTTCTGACTTAACTTCTGAATAGACTGCATCGGCTATTAACGGTGCAGCCACCGCGGGTAAAGCTTCTTCCATGGGTTGAACGTCCGCTTTTAAATTATCTCCTATAGATCGAATCTTTGGACCTTTTACTTCAAAATGACCAATTTTACCTACTTGATATGAAGCTGCAGCGGGTTCTGGATAAGCTGCATCGGCTATTAAAGGTGCAGCCACCGCGGGTAAAGCTTCTTCCATGGGTTGAACGTCCGCTTTTAAATCATCTTCTACAGATCGAATCTTTGGACCTTTTACTTCAAAATGACCAATTTTACCTACTTGATATGAAGCTGCAACGGGTTCTGCATGAGCTGCATCGGCTATTAAGGGTACAGCCACCGCGGGTTGAACATCCGCTTTCAAGTTATCTTCCATAGATCGAATCTTTGGACCCTTTACTTCAAAATGACCAATTTTACCTACTTGATATGAAGCTGCAACGGGTTCTGCATGAGCTGCATCGGCTATTAAAGGTACAGCCACCACGGGTAAAGCTTTTTCCATGGGTTGAACGTCTGCTTTTAAATCATCTTCTACAGATCGAATCTTTGGACCTTTTACTTCAAAATGACCAATTTTACCTACTTGATATGAAGCTGCAACGGGTTCTGCATGAGCTGCATCGGCTATTAAAGGTACAGCCACCACGGGTAAAGCTTCTTCCATGGGTTGAACGTCCGCTTTTAAATCATCTTCTACAGATCGAATCTTTGGACCCTTTACTTCAAAATGACCAATTTCAGCTGCTTGATTTGAAGCTGCAACGGGTTCTGGATTAGCTGCACCGGCTATTAACGGTATGGCTGCCACAGGGAAAGACTCCTTCGTATATTGAACTTCCGCTTTCATATTATCTACATTTTCAGAACAGACTAACTCTGAAATTTCGGATAATGACTGTATGCTACTGTACGGCTAATATATTGGCAACTATATATCTAGATTTATCATCAGATTGCACTATGACTGTATTTATATCGCCAATGTGATAGCTAACGATACCTGTCTGGATTTCCGAATGTAGCTTGAAGTCCATATCAGGAACGTGATGATCTCCATCGATACTCGGAATATCGGGCTTCTCTAGGCTAATATTACCATCTAAGATATAAATTTTACTAACGTCAGTATTATCGTTGACAGACAAACTTGCTTATCGTAAATTGAATCAATAACATACTAACCTGGCATTACTCCTGGTAAAATTTCACCGCTACCCACATCAAATTGACCATCCCTTGGAGATTCTTCTGGTTCTGCTTCTTTGGAATTTATTCGGGTAATCTACAAAAGTGTTAATAATACTTTAGTTATCATATTACTTCTAATGCAATCCACACTGTTAGCACGACATGTCTGCATTTAATTATTTGCCAGTTGAACGGTATTTATCTAACTCGAGATTAGCGATTGCATTAAAAATCTGTAATTAAATAATAATTATAAATTACATATCGGTATTACTATCGGTTTACAAATGCACCTTTCTAAAGAAACGACTAGCTAGTTTTGAGATTGAGACTCTTGTTTTCTTTGTTTTATCGATGCCTAATTTTAGATCATCTTCAGTTGGTTCGGTCTGTTCTTCATATTCTACCGGTATGCCATATTCAACTGCTTCTATATCAGCATCTGCGACCATATCTGGAATTAGCAAGCTATTTGTTGCTTGAGGTGAAGGAACACTTTTTGTAACTTCTGTAGTATATAGTTGATCTCAATTAGCATTAATGTCATTTCCCATATCAGAATTAACATTAGGTTTAACACTAGCATTTGCCAATTTCCTGCTTTACCTGTTTCGTATCTTGTAACACTTTTCAATTGTAGAGCACTACTTTCAACAGAAACCTACAAATTACAGTAAAAACACGATTGCCAATAATATTTAACTCATCACATGATTTAGTTCATCATACTTATTCATCCATTTTTTAAATTCATACCCCAAACTCCAATTTAGACGGCTCCATTTCAGGCATATTAACTGACATCTTTTTCGCACTCGAAAATTTGCTAGAAGCACTTGAACTTGATGCTTTAGATGAACTCGATGATGTTGAGGATGTCCTGCTGTAAACACGTGACGAGAGTATTCCTGGACGTTCTTTCTCTTCTCTATCCAGTAAACTAAAATCAATCTTGACTGGAATTGGTTTATCTGCAGGAGCTATTTCATCTTCATGTTGTAGTGGTAACACTTCAATATCCATGTTGTTGTCCTTATCTGGTAATTCTTCTGGTAAATTTATAGTTATTTCTGGTTCTAGAATCAGATCATCAGGTACTTCTTCTACTGTTCTATCTTCAGTTTGATTAATCTCTTCTTCTACTATTTCATTTGGTTCTTCTCTATCAAATATACTGAAATCAATCTTAACCGGTAAAGATTTAGTATCTGGAGCAATTTCCAATTCCATTTCTTGCGTCGATTCCATATCGTCGCCAGGCATTTTATATTGGAGGTCGAGATCTTTCGGTACTTCAGCCGTAACATTGAAGTTAGTACTTAAGGTTGGTTCTACAATTCTTGTAGGCTGTTCAGGCTTGTTAAAATCGTCTTTATCTGGTAAGCCTGCGGACAGTCCAAAAGCTATTTCTGGTCGGAAATTCATTTCGTCAGGTACGTCTTCTACTTTCATATCTCCTATAGGACTAGTTCCTTCTTCTACAATTCCAGTAGGCTGTTCAGGCTTGTTAAAATCGTCTTTATCTGGTAAGTCTGCGGACAGTCCAAAAGTTATTTCTGGTCGGAAATTTATTTCGTCAGGTACATCTTCTGCTTTTATATCTCCTATAGGACTAATTCCTTCTTCTACAATTCCA